TACCAACTTTTATTATCAAACCAGAATGTTTCGCAATTGAAAAACAAAAATATCAAAATTTCTATTCAAATTTATTAAATATTATAACAAGATTTCTTTCCGTGTCGATAAATCGCCACAGTAGTTCATAATGATTATTATAACATATACCATTATTATTATGGTAATGGTATATATTTTAAAAACATAGGACTACATATTGTATAGTTTAAATATGTAAATTAATTTGACACTTTTTCAAAAATACAAAGTTATCTTCAACAAAGTAAAAAATCATATTGGAAAGAAACATTGTTTCAGATTGAAGGTCAAGTTAATACTAAACCTTGAAACTATAGAGCAAAAGTAACGATTCCATCCAACTCCTGAATATGCATTAGAAAATTATGAGTACATCTTTAGACACTTAATTATAACATGTAAATATCGTTCCTAGAATATATATAGAAGGGATGAAATCAATTCTTAAGAAATAAAATCCTATCTTTCACCATGAACAATTTTTTCTAGTAATTTTAATTAATAATTCATACTACCTCTTACAATGTATACGAATATTTTTAAAACTTTATATTAAATGAAAAGTTCTTGAAAGAACAGAACAACAGAGAACTCTTATATGAAAGAGTTCTTATATAGACAAAGTATAATTCCTTCACGGAAAAAAAGAAAAAGTAATTTTTACTACTTTCATAGTAAAATGGGATCTGTCCGAAGTTTCTGCGCATCTATGGCAACTTTTACTCCAAAAATAGTAAAATTTGCTCCAGAAATAGTAAAAATTATTACAAAAATAGTCAATTTTACTATTTTTTGAGTAAAAGTTGCCAGAGATGCGCAGAAACTTCGGACAGGTCCAATTTTACTATGAAAGTAGTAAAAATTACTTTTTCTTTTTTTCCGTGTTTATATAAGTAATATTTTTTTTGCAACACTAACCTCTAAAGTTAAATTTTACACACCTAAAATTGTGTGTAAAGAAGCTCTTTTTCAAACGGTGTGTAAAGTGATTCACTTTACGCACTGAAATTTACTTTACGCACTGAAATATTACTTTACACACTGAAATTTACTTTACGCACTGAAATTTCTCTCACATAATATAAGGATTGTTTTAGACCATATACAAAACCACAAAATTAAAAAACGAACTTTACTATTAAATTTATACACTCCTGCTTAATGATATTTTTCCTGATCTTCGATTCATTTTTTTAATTCTATACAATCGAAATTATTCTGATAGAGAGTTGGAATTCTTCATAATAGGTACATAACTTTAGAGGTGGATGTTGCAAAAAATGTTGTATGATACACGTGCGTAAATCTGATTATACTCGTGTGTCACACTCGTATAATCACTCACTTTACGCAATTGTATCATAAATAATATTAATATTAATGTAATATTACAGTGATATTAGAAGAATATTATTTTCACGAAAAAAAAGAACCTCAGCTGGGAATCGAACCCCGAATCGTATATATACATGTGACTCGAGAGTTCTAACCAATAAGCCAAACATCTAATGATATAATCCCAGATAGTACGTAAGCTTGCAGCAACCTTGCAGCAAGCTTGTCGAGCAATATTACCAACCTTGCGTAGCAAACTTGCCGTAAGCTTACTGCAAGCTTCAAATCTTCCACCTGACCCAAGCTTGCTTTGTAAGCTTACCGAGAGATTGCAGTATAAGGTTACTTCAAGTTTGCACAATAAGATTTTATCGCAAGATTGCTCAGTAAGCTTGCACGGTAAGTTTGTAGCATGATTGGTGCAAGGTTGCCAAGTAACCTTATTTTGAACCTAAAAAATTTTTTTTTTAATGTTTCGACTAATTTATATAATTTTATTACATAAATTTTATTATATAAATTAAACGAAACATTGTTTAAAAAAAAAATTTTTTTTAGTTTCAAATTAAGGTTATTTGGCAACCTTAGAACCAAAATTGCTACAAGCTTACCGTGTAATTTTTTGGTATATCCTCAATATCAAGGTAATATTACACGTGAGATTCGTAATATAACGCTGTAATATTACAGTAATCTTACAGTGATCTTAAAATGTCCGCCTCAAGGTAATATTACCGGGAATATTACTGTAATATTAACGGTAATGTTACAGTAATATTACAGACTGATTTGAGTTATATTCATAAAGCATAAAAAACGTAAATATATTATAAGTCAATTTGGCTTGTTGGTAAAACTCTGGACTCGTGTGCTTTGAGTTCGGGGTTCGATTCCCTGGATGGGTAGATTTTTTTCGTAAAGAAATGTTCCCATAATATTACTGTAATTCGTACAAAAAATCTCCAATTTAACCAAGTACATAATTTCCAAGATTGCCAGAGATGGCGCCACCAGTTTTATTTTTTGAATATTGGTTTCTCAGAGCTGGCGTTCGCGTCGAATTAATAATTTAATTGATTTTAATTTTAATTAATTTAATTTAATTTTAAAATTATTAATTCGACGCGAACGCCAGCTCTGAGGAACCCGGGGGGCCGACTTTACCCACAGGGCCGAAATAGGACCACTCTCCCCTATCTGGTGAAAAATAAAAGACGAAGAAAAAGAAATTTTTTGAAAAATACTAAAATTGTTAACATATAAAAAATTTATTAAAAAAAAAAAATTTTTTTTTAAATTCAGCCATATTTGATCAGCCACCCGTGCAGAAATTTCCACCCTTCTTCCCGATTTCCGACCTGGCCCCGGCCAGATTATCTGGTCCGGCCCCGGGTCAGTAAATGTTAGTGGCCCCGGTCGTGGCCAGGCCGGGTTGCCCCAATAATAAGATAAGTAAAAATAAATTTTTATAGAGGAGTGCAGAACTCAAGAAGGCTATAGAAACAGGAAGTACACGTTAGGTAGTGGGGGTACGTGACAATTTGGTTTTCTGAAATGGGCGGATAAGTTGCAAGACGCAGTAGCCTCCTGCGCATATTACGAACAGGTGATAATAAAAAAGCAGATATTTATTTTACCGAAGCATATACGTACGTATAGAATCAGTGTTAATATTTTATTCTGAATTACCGCCAGATGGTAAGTCAACAGTTAGTCTGCGCAGAAGGCTACCGCGACTTGCAACTTATTCTATTGCTCTGCCTATTTCAGAAAACCCTTTTTCTTACGTATTCGTACGGTACCTCCCATTTCTAGTCTTCTTGGCCTAACTTTTGTTTTATTTTGGATACATAAATTATTTATTTCTGTGAATAATATGCCAAAACACAAAAGTACGAAACGTGTACGGAAACATCGACTGTCAACCCAATTTTCATCTCTGCCGATGAGCCAAAAGTTTTGAACGTTCAAATGAACAAAAAATTTTTTTTCAATCTATAAATTATTAAAAATTATAATGTCAATGTAAAATAAAACAGTAAATTAAACTAATATTAAATTAATAATTTCTTTTTAGATATTTAAAACAATATTTTGTAATAAAATTCATATTTAAAGAAGTTACAAAAAAAATTTTGTTCATTTGAACGTTCAAAACTTTTGGTTGATCTCTGCCGAATATATCAAGTCGTAAGTAAAAAATATTATTCACATGATATTACATTACCAAATAAAAAATAACCTAAAAATAGAGATTTTGTATTCTAACTTTATGAATATTGTTTTTATTTTTATAGTTTTACAAATGTTCTAGTAGTATTCCTTTGAAAAAATCCCGAATTGAAGTTAAAAATTCTTTTATTACATCTGACTTCTTATATATTCTTTCATATTTGTTATAATAATAATATGTATAAGTATGAATTTATCACTCGATCGAAATTAGTTTTATAAGAATGATCTTTCTTTCTTATATAATAATAATGATAACAACTATTTTCATGTATGTTAAATATAATTCTATGCCTTATAGCTTCAGATGATTCAAATCATGAAGATGCGAATGTTAATGAGAATATCAGCTCACAGCTAGGACAACAATATGATTCGCTTAGTTCCCATATGGAAGATTGTCTCACACCAGGCGACATTGATTAAAACTACGAAATTAATGAATCTGAAGACCAAATCAATATCCACTCTAAATTGTTAGGCAGATGACTACTGTATGGTTTACCATACCACAAACATTTGAATGGTGGTCAAATCGGGAAAAATTTGATGGCCCCGGTCGGGTCCCCAGCAGGGAACCAGATCGGGCCCCGAGCCATGGCCCCGGTCGGTTTTATTGTTTCATCCAGGCCGGGGGCAGGCCAGATTTCCCGAAGTGGCCCCGGTCTTGCCCGGTCTGGCCCTGGCCAGGGCCCGGTCAAAATTTCTGCACGGGCATTTACAATTATTAAAAATTGACTTCAGATTCGTGATCAGCTACCCCGAAAACCCTCGATTTACGATTTTAAAGCGAATCCAATGAATTTTTCATTTTTTTTTTTGTCTGCCATATTGGATTCGACATTTTTAATTTTTAAAAACGGATACTATATTCGTAATCAGCAACCTCGAAAACCTCCGAGAGTAACAAGTTTGAGGCGAATTTAATTAATTTTGAAACAATGCACCATATATACCTATTTAATAATTTTTTATTTGACATTTTTCTTGAGAAAATTCTGATGACTCGTATTTATGCATTCATAATAACAAATGAATTTTATTTGTTTATAGTAACCGAAAAACTTTTATTTTCGCTGACAGTGTACTTCTGTACTTAAAAACTTGTCGGTAAAAAAGTGAAGATTATGATAAAGAGTAAATACTTCATTATCGACACTCAAATGGTAATATTTAAATGTAGATCTCTATTTTTCTATTTAAAAAAAAGGGATAATTAATAGCAAAATAAAATTATTGTTAGTACTGAATTATTAAAATTTTTAAAATAAATGAGGAATTTAACAAATTTCAAAAATCATGCATAACGTCATATATAAATTTGATATCAGTATTAATTATATAAACAATTTATTAAATTCTATTTTTTTATACTTATCTTCTTGGGGAATTGAAATAATTAGACAGAAAAGTAATTGTTAGAAATAATTAATTTAATTACATTGAAATTAGCAGAAATTAGTAATTAATACTAATTATACATAGAGGGTGATTTTTAAATTCCGAACCATCTAAATTTTGTTTTTTTAATTTTACTTTTTTTATTTAAAAAATGAAATTAAAAAAATTTTTCAAGTGGTCCGGAACATAAAAAACACTATGTATATTAATTTTGAATTATTAGAGGAACAAAAAATTTATTACAACAACAAACCAGGTGTCTTAGTTTATATATTTGAATAAAGAATATACTTTTTTAAAAAAAAATTTCCTGGTTATTTTCTATAACAAAAGGAAAAATTTATGGGCAGGACACATGGGCTCCGTTACTTCTTGTTACCTCAGTTGTACAATGTCCATTTTGACATGTTTGAATTGTACATCGTACATTCGTGCAAGTTTTAGTTAGCCGGATTCCGTTTCCTATACAACAACTCTGAAATACACAAAAATAAATTCCTTTTTATTTTTTAACTTCTAACAGAATATTTGAATTGAATTAATTTGAGCTTGAAAAAATGATCTACTAGACCCATATGGTGCCAGTTACGGGTTAAAAAATTGCATATTTCAGGATAATTCAATATATCAAAAAAAAATTCAAAATTAATTCAAAATTGATAATTTTTTTTTGACAAATCATATCGATATAATTATCACATGAAACACCTAACTCTGAACCAAGAAGTTTTAATGACATCTAATAGATGTCACTTTGCTGATAAAGTCGAATTCTTCAATTTCGTAATTTTCAATAATCTTAGGGCCGGTTTCACCAACTATGGTTAAAAGTTAATCAGCGATTAAAGCCAAATAAACCGCTCATGATTGGTCGGTTAGGGATTTAATCGCTGATTAACTTTTAACCGGAGTTGATGAAACTGGCCCTTAATCAGCGATAAATAGTATTTCTTTATAAAATATATCTAACAATTCAATATATCGATAATACGATTTTTATTATTTTCCCAAATATGAAATTTGTTAAGAATAAATTTGTAGATAAAATATTAATATAATCTGGCACATGACTAAATTTTCTTTAATCTAATATACTTTTTTAGCCTCATCTTTATCTAATCTAATTATTACTTGGCCTAAATATTATTTGACATAATTATTATATTTAAAATAATTTTCATCTAGCCTTATTATTATTATTTGGGCTAACTAAATTTCATTTTATCTAATAAAATTTATAATCATAATTAGGCGAAAATAATTCATTTAAATGTTCAGGAAAGTTTCGCGCTAAACATAATATATAAATCTTTACATAACTTTCAATAAACATTACATTTAAATATTCCAAATATTGCAAGTAAATATTAACTAAATTTTCAGGAAAGTTTTGGTGCTGTGGGGGAATTGTTGCTTGCTGATATGTGAATCTAACCTAATTCTAACTAGGAATAAAATTTGTTGTAGATAATTTTTAAACTGAATTTGAGGTAAAAGTTCTATTTTTTTCGTGTGTTCTACTGTAAATTGCTTTTTTCAATTTAAAATCAGAAATAAAATAATTGCAAAATCTCATTACCGCCATCGCAAAACCACCAGAAAAAAATTGTGGAAAATTATATGGGTACGCCTCTCTAATGGGCCGTGATTTAAAATTGTTCTCCTTGTCTGGTATCGATTCAGAATTTGTATCAATGATTTTATTCTGTAAAAATCAAAATTTTATTTAGATTTAAAAAAAATTAAAAGCATTTAATGCGAAAGAATTTATTGCACAATATAAAATAAGTACTTACAAATTCAGATATTTCGCTTTTATTCTCAAACTGTACAACAGATGGTACATGGAGCGATTGAGCGAAGGGCACAAAAAGAGTGCAAAATAAAATTGCAAAGTAATACATCTGTAAATATAAAATTAAAGAAAAAATGAATTAAACACAATATCGATAAAAAAAATACCATTATATTAAAAAACAAGTTATATAAATGTTTTAATTTTCATTCTGAAAAAATTATAAATAATTTATCAAAATTTTAGAAAATAATTAAAACACTTCTTGCCCTTATTCTCCAAAAGTAGTGTAGAGATTTACTAATAAAAAATTTGGAAGTAATTACATTTTAGATGATGTCTGTATATATACTCAAAAAATTATAGATATGCTCCTCTGTCGATAAAAAAAATATGCTTACATAAATTTAATTCACTTGAATCAATATTGATATTTCAATAGTTTTAATTCTACGTTTAAATAGAATGAAACTATATATCTTGTAAATCATTTGTATTACGTACATAAAAGTAAAGATGATCGTTTATACATTTTATTGACAATAAGTTGTACGTAATAAAAAATATAGTAAATTATTAAATATTAATATTTTTATTAACGTATTGGAATATTACAATAGATTTTCACACGTCAATATTATATATTATACAAAAATATATTTACATTAGTTGTAAGTGCGTCTCTAACTGACGTTGGTATACTTCAATAATTAATTTAATAATATACATAATTCATTTTCTTAAAGTATATTAATCCTAAAAAGCACATCTGGGGTAGAAAACTAACCCAGAAAAAATTCAAATTTCAGTATTTTTTTTTTGCAGATTTTGTGGTTTTTGTAATTTTTTATCCATATTTTTGCTTCTGTTAAAAACCAAAAAAAACTCTCTTCATACTTATAAAACAAGATGGGGGTCCCTTTTTATAAAAGAAGTTTATGTTCATTTCATGAACATTTTGCAAAGCAAAAGATTTGCTTCCTCTTGGAGGAAGCAATAAATTAATAATTTATATACATATTATTTTTAAAATATGATAAATGATTTCAAAAAATATATCTTTTTCCACCTTTTCCACTCTTTCAACCGTTTTATTGCTGTTATCGACTGATTCCGGTATAATCGCTTTTTCCGTTACAGTAGATTCCGGTTCAATCTTTTTAGTTTGAATTTGTTGAATTTGAATCATGAATTGAATCAGTTTCTTTTGACGTAAGGAATAAGATTATTATATGTATTGCCTTTATTTTAGCTTTGAAACAATTTTTTTATTAAAATCGATTTTTTGAAAAAAAGTAAAAAAAAATTTTTTTTTAGGGGGTACTTTCTAAAATTGTTATGTTCATTTTGAGATATTAATGTGACAAATGTACATACCGAATTTTAGCCAAATCCGTTAAAACGTATTAACGATATCGTGTTCACAAAAACTTTTTTAACTAAAATATGAATTTTTGAATTTTTTAATTTATTCTTTAAATTTCAATGAAATATAAACTTTATATATACCAATCGATTCGTCTTGATATGAGGAATACGATTTTACTATGTATTGCCTTTAATTTTGCTTTCAATAAATTTTTTCGATTAAAATCGATTTTTTTGAAAAAATGCCAAAAAAATTTTTTTTGTGGGTATTTTCTAAAATCATTGTGTCCATTTTGAGATATTGATGTGACAAATATACGTACCAAATTTTAGCCAAATCCGTTAAAACGTATTAAAGTTATCGTGTTCACAAAAAAATGGATCCACACACACACATACACACACACACATACATACATCCGGACAATTGATCAGGGACTTATATATGACATTTATAAATAGAAAAAAATTTGTTTGGTGCATTTCTAATAATTTCATAATTTGAAGGACTACATAGCTTTTTCGTTAAATATGAACATTCTAGCAAAAAAACAATTTTGGGGTTGTTTTCTACCCCAGATGTGCTTCTACGTATGAGCCAGCTATGTTGTGCTGTCTAGGATTAAAACTTATAGAACGATTTTCTTTTATTATACATAGAATTTTGATATAACCAAAAATACACTTCACAGAATTTTTATTTGTCAGAAATTGCAAATAACCAAACAAACAATCGACAATAAGATTTCTGAAGGATTTTTAATATTTACCAAATTACAATTTTCTTTGATAATTTATATTTTTTTTTAAATTCGCGCCAAAATCTTACTATCGATTGTTTGTTTAGACAAATAAAAAATTCGTCGTTTTAAGAATTCTATTAAATAACAATTTGTGCAAATAATATAATTACAACACTTTTTAATTAAAGCCCTTATATTATGGATTAAAATATAACTAATCAATTATTTCATTTTTTAAATTATCTTTATTACATACGACACATAATTAATTTAATTACATTGAAATTAGCAGAAACTAGTAATTAATACTAATTATACATAGAGGGTAGGGTGCCCAAAAAAAAAGTCAACTTTTGAATTTCTATAACGCAACCCCAAAATTTTATTCTTTAGTAGAAAAAAAAGATACGTATTTTTTTAAAACAATTTTTATCAATATTTAGAGGTCGCGCTAGTCGATTTTTCCTTAAAAAATGGATTTTTTGGGTTAATTAACTATTATATAGGTAAAAACAATGCAAAAAAGTTCGCACCTTTCACGAAATTACTCTAATGTTATCGCCAAATATCCACCTTGTGCAAACTGAAAAGAAATATATGATTTAAAGATAAATATTGACATCAAAAGTTGAAAATTTGAAATCGAAATGTAGAAATGGGTTAAAAAAATCCGTAAATCATTTTTTAACTTATAGTAGTTACTATGATTTTGTTGTGTGCTCAAATGCCTGTAATTTATACTATATGTGATTACGAAAAAATAACCTCTAAAGATAACCTGTACATTTTTTTGGCACCTATGACATTTCTGATGGATATTTTTGCAAATAATAAGTTCGAATCACATTATTTATTAGTTTTTCGAACCTTCAATTACGAATTAGATATTAACATTTCAAAGTTCAACATGGCGAAACCAATATGGCGGAAGTTTTTTAAAAAATCAGGCTAATTTGATGGAAACTTGTTATTCGGGGGTTTTTGAGGTCGCTGAATAAGAATCTGAAATCAATTTTACAAAATTCAAAAACCCAATATGGCCAACCAAAGTTTACATCTAATTCGTAATTGAAGGCTCGAAAAACTAATAAATAATGTGATTCGAACTTATTATATGCAAAAATATCCATCAGAAATGTCATAGGAGCCAAGAAAATGTATGTTATCTTTAGAGGTTATTTTTTTGTAATCACTTATAGTATAAATTACAGGCATTTGAGCACACAACAAAATCATAGTAACTACTATAAGTTAAAAAATGATTTACGGATTTTTTGAGCCCATTTCTACATTTAGATTTCAAATTTTCAACTTTTGATGTCAATATTTATCTTTAAATCATATATTTCTTTTCAGTTTGCACAAGGTGGATATTTGTCGATAACATTAGAGTAATTTCGTGAAAGGTGCGAACTTTTTTGCATTGTTTTTACCTATATAATAGTTAATTAACCCAAAAAATCCATTTTTTAAGGAAAAATCGACTAGCGCGACCTCTAAATATTGATAAAAATTGTTTTAAAAAAATACGTATCTTTTTTTTCTACTAAAGAATAAAATTTTGGGGTTGCGTTATAGAAATTCAAAAGTTGACTTTTTTTCTGGGCACCCTAATAGAGGGTGATTTTTGTGTTCCGAAACCTCAAAAAATTTTTCTTTAATTACACTTTTTTTATTTAAAAAATGAAATTAAAAAAAAAATTTTAAGTGGTCCGGAACATAAAAACACTATGTATATTAATTTCGAATTATTAGAAGGACAAAAAATTTATTACAACAACAAACCAGGTGTCTTAGTTTATATACGTGAATAAAGAATTTATTTTTTAAAAAAATTTTTTTCTTGGTTATTTTCTAGATCAAAAGGAAAAATTTATGGGCAGGACACATGGGCTCCGTTACTTCTTGTTTCCTTAGTTGTACAATGTCCATTTTGACATGTTTCAAATGTACATTTTACGTTCGTGCAAGTTTTAATTACATACTTTCCATCTCTCATATCACAAATCTGAAATACACAAAAATAAATTCCTTTTTATTTTTCAACTTGTAACAGAATATTTGAATTGAATTAATTTGAGCTTGAAAAAATGATCTACTTAACACCAAATGGTGTCTTTTTTAGCCTCATCTTTACCTGATCTAATTATTACTTGGCCTAAATATTATTTGACATAATTATTATATTTAAAATAATTTTCATCTAGCCTTATTATTATTATTTGGGCTAACTAAATTTCATTTTATCTAATAAAATTTATAAGTGCTCTTTAGACATGCGCAGTAGAGCTATATGCACTGTAGGCATGAGCAGTAGGGTTGATTAATCTTTGGAACTGCGCAGTGGGGTTAATTGAATTTTTTACATGCGCAGTAGACTTAAGTGCCCTTTATACATGCGCAGTAAGGGTAATTAAACTTTTTACATGCGTAGTAGAGTTAAGTGCACTTTAGACATGCGCATTATGGTTAATTTAACTTTATACGTGCGCAGTAGTTATACGTTAAATTTACATGTGCGCTATAAAATCCATCAATATTTGGACTTGCGCAGTGGTGTTAAGTGCACTTTAGACACCCGCAGTACGATCAATTAAATTTTTTACATGCGCAGTAAAATATTTGCGCAGAGGGGTTGAGTGCATTTTAGACATGCGCAGTAGAATCAAGTGAACTTTGAGCGTGCATAGTAGGGATAAGTGTCCTTTAGTTATTATTAAATATGGTTTTGATTCGTCTGAAACTTGTTATACAAGGGCGTTCAGGGTCGCTAATTATGAATCCAATGCCCTGAGAAAAATGTTTAGTCAGAGAGCAACCAAAATTTGGTTAAGCCAACAAAAAAATGTTGTTGGTATTTAAGCAACCAAACTATTTGTTTGAGTCAACCAAAAAATTTGTTTCAGTGTTTTTTGTTGGCATAACAAAAATGTTTGGTTGATCAAACAAAAAGTTCCTTTTTGTAAAATTAAAAATTTTATTCTACCTTATTTCTTTTCGTTTTATCTTTTTTATTCATTTCATTATTTATTTATTATCAATTTAACATTGAATTTATATTTATCCAATTGAAATAATTGAGGACTTTGAAAAATCTCATCTCCGCCTGGGATCAAACCTCTGTTTTAAAACTAAAGATCGGGAGCTCTGACCACTGGACTACCCATCCTTGTGAAAGATTTAAACTAACTGTTCTCTTAAGCTATGAGATGAGAGCGAATCAAATTATTTGGTTGTCGCAGTCAAATTTTGGTTAGGACAACAAACGATCATTTGGTTTTTTAGACCAAATTATTTTGTTGTCGTAACCAAATTTTGGTTGGAATTTAAAAATGTTCAACCAAATAATTTGGTTGTCCTAACCAAATGTTTGGTTGAGATAACTCTACGACTTTGTTTCAGCCAACCAAAATTTGGTTACACTCAAAAAATGGTTTGGTATAGCTAACTAAAAGTTCGGTTTTCCCAACTGAACTTTTCGTTTGGTATTGACCTGACCGAACTCAGCAGTTGTGATGACCAAACGAGTTAGGTTGTCCTTAATTTAGTTGAAATATAATAAACATTTTAGACTTACAAATTTTTTACCATTGCTAAGAATGTTTTTAATAATAATTGGCATTTCATAGGCTTTAAGATTTTTGTCAAAGCCGAGATTTCCGAACTTTTTGCAAATTAGACATACTTTTTACATTAGAATCAACTATTAAATTTTTTTGAATAACTTTAAAAGAAGGAACAATACACTCTTCACACAAGTCTTAAATAACGCGCACATTTCTTCTCTACATTAAATACTTTTGCATGTAATGCATTTTACACTAACACATACATGATTTAGGAAAAAATCAGGCAAAGTAAAAATAAACTGTTCACCTCTGAATTTTTCTATATATTTGTATTCACTAAGAAGTCGAACGTAATTAATTTTTTCACTTTATCACTTCTCACTAATATTTTAAACAATTAGTCTTTAAAATAAAGAGGTGAATTAATTGAAATTAAATTAATTAATTAATTCACAAAAAATACAAGCTTTTTTGTGTTGACGAACGAATTAAAAAAAATTTGCCGTTACTCCAGGAGTAAATCCTTGCAACTGAAGCGTTTTCATGCCTAAAAGGCAAAATGAAAACTTTTAGATTTGACAACATTGAAAAAAAGTATTTGGCAACGTCGCATTTCGAATTTTTCAATGTTTGAAGAAAAGCATTGATTTATAAAACCCTTGCAGAAAAAATGTCTTAAAAATCAAACATCGGCCGGTCAGGCGATCCCCGGCGTGCTAAGGATATAAAGTCTAAATTTTGCTTCCAGATGGTGACGGTCCAATTTCAAGTTAAGGAGTACCATAAAAATTTTCTAAGTCCCACTTTTAAAGTAGTGGGGATGACATAAATCGTTTTGTTGGAAAGTGTTTGTTTGTTATAACCGAACTTCGGTTAATATAGCCGAACTGAAACAACCATTCGAGTTTAGTTTTAACAACCGAACCACTTAGGTTAAGACAACTATTCATTTGGTTTCAACAACTGCTCTACAGTCAACCGAACTCGGTTTACTTATAGTTACCAAACCTCTTTTTTCCGTGTACAAGAAACAAAATTACCTAACCAAACAATTTTGTTAAAAACACTAAATTTTTTTTCTCAGTGCACAGCGTATGATCTAACCTAATTCTAACTAGGATGAAATTTGTTGCAGATAAATTTTGAACTGAATTTGGGGTAAAAGTTCTATTTTTTTCGTGTGTTCTACTATAAATTCTTTTTTCAATTTAAAATCAGAAATAAAATAATTGCAAAATCTCATTACCGCCATCGCTGCACCCGCAGAAACTGATATTGAAAAATTATATGGGTACGCCCCTCTAATGATCCCTGGAACTGAAGTAATAGTTATTGGTTTGGATGATGTTTGTGGAGGATATGAGATCGCTGGACCTGTAGTAATAATTATTGGTTTGGATGATGTTTGTGGAGGATATGAGATCGCTGGACCTGTAGTAATAATTATTGGTTTGGATGATGTTTGTGGAGGATATGAGATCGCTGGACCTGTAGTAATAGTTATTGGTTTGGATGATGTTTGTGGAGGATATGAGATTGGTCGAAAGTTTGTCATTGGTCGAGAAACTAGCATTGGTAACGCCTGTCTAATGAGCCGTGATTTAAAATTGTTCTGCTTGTCTGGTATAGATTCAGAATTTGTATCAATGATTTTATTCTGTAAAAATCAAAATTTTATTTAGATTTAAAAAAAAATTAAAAGAATTTAATACGAAAAAATGTATTGCACAATATAAAATAAGTACTTACAAATTCAGATATTTCGCTTTTATTCTCAAACTGTACAACAGATGGTACATGGAGCGATTGAGCGAAGGGCACAAAAAGAGTGCAAAATAAAATTGCAAAGTAATACATCTGTAAATATAAAATTAAAAAAAAATTAATTAAACACAATATCGATAAAAAAATACCATTATATTAAAAAACAATTTATTTAAATGTTTTAATTTTCATTCTGAAAAAATTATAAATAATTTATCAAAATTTTAGAAAATAATTAAAACACTTCTTGCCCTTATTTTCCAAAAGTAGTGTAGTGATTTACTGATAAAAAATTTGGAAGTAATTACATTTTAGATGATGTCTGTATATATACTCAAAAAATTATAGATATTCTCCCCTGTCGATAAAAAAAATATGCTTACGTTTTAATTCACTTGAATCAATATTGATATTTCAATAGTTTTAATTCTACGTTTAAATAGAATGAAACTATATATCTTGTAAATCATTTGTATTACGTACATAAAAGTAAAGATGATCGTTTATACATTTTATTGACAATAAGTTGTACGTAATAAAAAATATAGTAAATTATTAAATATTCATATTTTTATTAACGTATTGGAATATTGCAATACGTAGATTTTCACACGTCAATATTATTTATTATACAAAAATATTAAATAAAAATAACTGACGTTAGTATACTTCAATATTTAATTTAATAATATACATAATTCATTTTCTTAACACAGAAAAAAACTGAACTCAGAATGAGCCGTGTAGGCGGCTCATTTTGATGTGCAACAAAAATGAACCAGGTTGGTGGCGCCACTGTCTATGTCGTTTAGCATTAGCTCTATTTGATTTGCAACAAAAATGAGACTAGATTTTTTCTGTGAAAGTATATTAATCCTAAAAAGCACATCTGGGGTAGAAAACTAACCCAGAAAAAATTCAAATTTCACTATGTTTTTTTTTGCAGATTTTGTGTTTTTTGTTGTGGTTTTTGTAATTTTTTATCCATATTTTTGATTCTATCAAAAACCAAAAAACGCTCTCTTCTTACTTATAAAAAAAGGAAAAAAATTATTTATAATAAAGTTATTTTTCGTTAAATATGAACATTCTAGCAACAAAACAATTTTGGGGTTGTTTTCTACCCCAGATGTGCTTCTACGTATGAGCCAGCTATGTTGTGCTGTCTAGGGTTAAAATTTATAGAACGATTTTCTTTTATTATACAGAATTTCGATATAACCAAAAATACACTTCACAGAATTTTTATTTGTCAGAAATTGCAAATAACCAAACAAACAATCGACAATAAGATTTCTGAAGGATTTTTAATATTTACCAAATTACAATTTTCTTTGATAATTTATATTTTTTTTAAATTCGCGCCGAATTCTTACTATCGATTGTTTATTTAGACAAATAAAAAATTCGTCGTTTTAAAAATTCTATTAAATAACAATTTGTGCAAATAAAAATTCGGACAGTTTAAGATTTATTATATTGAAAATTTTCAAATTTCTCATCGATGACAGAAATTTTGTCTCGTTTTGTGAAAAGTTACGCACAAAGGAAAATAGAAAAACAAATAAAGTAACTTTTATACACGGAGAAAAATGAAATTTTGAAAATTATCAATTCAGTCCTAGTAATTGAGAAATGCGAATCCACGATGAATTTTAGGAGATCCTCAGGTACGAACTTTATGTTGGCCCAAAATTGGGCCAACTTTGCAAAGGTTGGCACAATCGACCATCGGCCTTACTTTGGCCAGAGTTGTGCCGACCATATGTGAATTAAAATAATTGTACAGAAAAGGAATTGTTGTAGAAATTAGATTAGATAGATATTTTATTACTGCTTTATAAAATGTTACATTTTGTGTTATATAGGAATTGAATAATGCCAAAATACTTATTATATTATGGGTTAAAATATAACTAATCAATTATTTCATTTTTTAAATTATATCTTTATTAAATACGTCACATAATTAATTTAACTACACAGAAATTAACAGATATTAGTAATTATTTCTAATTATATATATTAATTTCGAATTATTAGAAGAACAAAAAATTTTTTAACAAACCAGGTTTGTTAGTTTTTCCAGATTTATTTTCTATATCAAAAGGAAAGATTAATATTTGCAGAACCTAAGATTTTCTTCGTTACTGATACTTCCTGTGTCTTTATGTGTACAGTTTCCATTGTCACATGTTACAATTGTACAATCTAAACTCATGCAAATTTTAATTTTATACTTTCCACTTGGCAAACAACAGCTCTGAAATACACAAAAATAAATTTTTATTTTATTTTTCAACTTCTAACAGACTATTTTATAAAACTATTAAATTAATAGAGATTGTTACGGTAAAAACTCGCAACAATTTTTTGTTCTCCCTGGTCTTTTATAATATTGTATGTAATAATATATATATATATATATATATATATATATATATATATAAAATTAACTTAAATTTGATTGGCCTAAAAGTAATACGTACTAATTATTCCCTGGCGGATTACTTCAAGTATATTTTAAGCGGTTTCACTTAGAATTCGCTTAACTTTACTCAGAGTGAAAATTAATCAATAAATTTTATTTGATTTAAATAAAATTTTATTTGACTCAAATATATGTTTTATTTATGTCGAATAAAATTTTTATTTAAAACAAATGAAAAGTCTAGTTGGTGCTGAGACAAATATACGTTTCTTTAACTCTAATAAAATATATTTGGTTTAAATATAATTTTTTTCTGCGCGTATATCTTAATTGTTGCTTGTTTTAATATTAATGTAACCTAATTATAAAATTCCAATTTGTAAAACGCTATTTTAATTTAAATTCTAAATTCTTTTTTCATTTAAAAAACAAACATTAAAGAATTACAAAACTTTCATTACCGCGATCGCTGGACGTGTAGTAATAGTTATTAGTTTGGATGATGTTTGTGGAGGATATGAGATCGCTGGACCTGTATTAATAATTATTGGTTTGGATGATGTTTGTGGAGGATATGAGATCGCTGGACCTGTAGTAAGAGTTATTGGTTTGGATGATGTTTGTGGAGGATATGAGATTGGTCGAAAATTTGTCCTTGGTCGATAAACTAGCATTGGTAACGCCTGTCTAATGAGCCGTGATTTAAAATTGTTCTGCTTGTCTGGTATAGATTCAGAATTTGTATCAATGATTTTATTCTGTAAAAATCAAAATTTTATTTAGATTTAAAAAAAATTAAAAGCATTTAATGCGAAAGAATTTATTGCACAATATAAAATAAGTACTTACAAATTCAGATATTTCGCTTTTATTCTCAAACTGTACAACAGATGGTACATGGAGCGATTGAGCGAAGGGCACAAAAAGAGTGCAAAATAAAATTGCAAAGTAATACATCTGTAAATATAAAATTAAAAAAAAATGAATTAAACACAATATATCGATAAAAAAATACCATTATATTAAAAAACAAGTTATATAAATGTTTTAATTTTCATTCTGAAAAAATTATAAATAATATATCAAAATTTTAGAAAATAATTAAAACACTTCTTGCCCTTATTCTCCAAAAGTAGTCTAGTGATTTACTGATAAAAAATTTGAAAGTAATTACATTTTAGATGATGTCTGTATATATACTCAAAAAATTATAGATATGCTCCCCTGTCAATAAAAAAATATGCTTACGTTAATTCAATTCACTTAAATCAATATTGATATTTTAATAGTTTTAATTCTACGTTGTAATAGAGTAAAACTGTATCTTGTAAATCATTTGTATTACGTACATAAAAGTAAAGATTATCGTTTATACATAAGATGTATGTAATAAAAAATATAGTAAATTATTAAATATTCATATTTTTATTAACGTATTGGATTACTACAATAGATTTTCACACGTCAATGTTATAAATTATACAAAAATATATTTACATTATTTGTGACATTATATCTATTTATATTATTTTGTACGCCAAAAATATTGAAATCAAAATTTTTTTAAAAAATTAAATTATGTTTATGTTTAGAAAAGCAAAAAAATTAAATAGGAAACTATTTGGGAACCTATCCCAAATTCCGATATAGACTAAAATATCGCTTCCGATTTAGTTTTCTACATAAATTTCGATACATAATCCCATATGGTTTCTCATATTGTTTTCTACAATTTTTATTATATACTTTCCGTTGTCGGAATTTTCGATAGTAATTAGTAATTGTACACTGAATAATAAAATTATAAACAATCATTTTAATATCATTACTATATTATAAAAAGATATCGCCGCCGCCGCTGATTCAAGAATGAACGCTAGGCGAGAACTTCGATGCTACATGGGAACTCACAGTACTCGCATACCATTCAACTCACGAAGCATTCAGACTCACGTACCATTCATAATTTGTCTCAAATAAACACTAGGCGAGAATTTTGACGCTACGCGAGAGCTTACAGTACTCGCCTACTGTTCAACTCGCGAAGCATTAAAACTCGCGTACCATTCAGAATTTGTCTCGAAAATTTCATATATTGTACTATCTATATCAAAAAAATAAGTTAAAAATTAACATAACATCAATACTCAAGGTCAAACGACAGCAGAATAATAGATTAAAACGAACATAACTCAAAAATCAAGGACATATTTCAAAAACCAAAGTTTTTGATGGAATAGAGACGGACATAACCTCAAAATTATTATTAGAGTTATAATTTTGCTATAAAATTTATAGTTTCGGATAAGAATAGCCCTGCTATCGAATAATGTTAAAAAGTGAAGATTTTACTTTTACCTGACTTGGAGAATTGAAAATTATTATTTACTATTACTTTAATTCTTTACATTTAAACATTTAAATTGAAAGCATTTAATGTGAAATAAATTTATCGCTTCACTTCACTTTCACTTTCTCTTCACTTCACTTTCACTTTCACTTCACTTTCACTTCACTTCACTTTCACTTCGCTTTCACTTCACTTTCCTTCATTTCTCTTTCAATTCATTTTCACTTCACTTTTACTTTACTTTCACTTCACTTCACTTTTACTTCACTTCACTTCACTTCACTTCACTTCACTTCACTTCATTTCACTTCACTTTCACTTTCCTTCATTTCACTTTCAATTCACTTTCACTTCACTTTTACTTCACTTCACTTTCACTTCAATTTAGAACAAATTTTTCAAATTAAAGTTTTCATACAATGGAGATATTAAATTTATTTAAATTACAATTTTTTGGTATACAATTTTGAATATGAATAAAAGAGGTTAGAAATTATAATTTTTAATATTTAAGAAATATTTTTTAAAAAATGTTTTCCATTTTAACAGATTTTTTGAAAAGAAAGACTTTGCCAGATGACGATATGACTAAATAAAAACGATGCAAAATAAAATTATTAAATGACCATCTTCATCTTCTAACTATCTGGCGGATAGTTGGAAAATTAACGTAGCGCGAAATTCAAACTGCATGAAGGAAAAACTGTAAGTATAAAGAATTAAAATTAAAAAAATTATTTATGACCATTATAACATTAATTAAGTTTTGTTTAATGCAATAGTATGCATTCTTAATTAAATACATTTTCAAGTAAATGTTTATACTTACAATTTTTCCTTCATGCAGGTTGAATTTCGCGCTACGTTAATTTTCCAACTATCCGCCAGATAGCAGTGTTTTTCTCTCTCACAAACAACATCAATCGGTTAGGGTATAAGTATCCGTTTCACCGTTTATTGCGGATGATTTTATATATAACCCTTGATCCGAAGGGAAATGATAATGTTATTATATATAATAAAATATAATATATAAATATAACAAAATTTTTTATTATATTTCAGTTTTAATAATTAATTTTTTTAATCTTGGCTGAAGTTTGATTTTTTGTCTTTTTGAATATTGGGCCAATATTGAAATTCGAGCCTTTTTGCATTGGTCTCTACACTCCCAGCCTTGGACCAATATTGGTAAAAATAACTTAGTAGTGTAGAAATTACTGATAAAAAATTGAAAATTAATTAAATTTTAGAGGATGACTGTATATATATATACTCAAAAAATTATAGATATTCTCCACTGTTGATAAAAAAAATATGCATTACGTAAATTAAATTCACTTGAAGTAATATTGATTTTTTAATAGTTTTAATTTTACATTGTAATAAAGTGAAACTATATCTTGTATTACGTACATAAAAGTAAAGATTATCGTTTATACATTCTATTGACACTAAGATGTACGTAATAAAAAATATAATAGAGTATATAGTGGGGCGAGATCACCATTTGGCTTTTATTTCCGTATTCTATGACTTAGAAATTTGTCGTTTCACGTAAATGTCATTTGTGGCAGTGTGCATATATGCCCTGAGTTTCGATTCAATTAATCAAGAAGCAGCAAAAAATGACAGAGTCATTACTGAAATCGAAACTTATTTCACAACTTTTTTTTATTTTTCGCCAAAATTTTATCAAAAAAAAAAAAAATTTAACGTAATTATTTTTTATTAACCCCATTGATTGTGAAATACGCCATATACACGTACTTACAAAAAACTTAAAAAAAAACAAAAATTATCAAATTTACATCACACTGACGTTATTTAAGATATTTTGTACGCTAAATCCGAATTTTACGTTGATATATTGTATTTCTAAAAATATATATTTGGAAGCGAGAAACTTAGTATTTCCTTAAAAGGGTATAAACGAATGTCCTTTTCCTACAGCTGCGATTTGACACGAAGGCGCTATCTTTTTAATATACTCATATACTACGCCTGTAGTGTTTCTCGCTTACACCTGCGATTTCATGACAGAGGTGTGCTCTTTCTAAATTATGTATTTTAATCAGACAAACCCTCTTTGTGGGTAATAAAAAAGAAAGAGATAGAACTAGCGACACAAGACAACGGAATTATATAGTCTCCCTTATGAAAATTTGATATAAAAGGACTACATTTTTACGGAGATTTCAGTTCAGAAATTACCACCGATACCCCCAATTCAGAAATTACCACCGATACCGCCAGTTCAGAAATTGCCACCGATACCCTCAGTTCAGAAATTGCCACCGATACCTCCAGTTCCGAAATTACCACCGATACCGCCAGTTCAGAACTTTTCATCATACACGTTACTTCTACTTCATATTTGGTACCAGTTCACATACGAAATCTAGTACAAGCATTGTTACTCTGCTCGATTTCATACTCAAGTTCGACTTAGAAGAATCTCTGTGTCAAGTGTTAAAAGTTTCTACGTCAAGAAGAGCTGATTCAATCAACTGAACTCCGGACCTGTGGTCATCACCAAGGCCCGTCAACCTTCCTGTTAGCTCTTAAACTATATCTGGTACCAGAAGTTCCTATCATAATTAGGACACAGCAGTGGTCCTTTTTCATACATCTTACATCTAAATTTTCAAGGTAAGTTGTTATACTTTTTATCTAAATCCTTCCTAATTCCTTATAAAAATTTGTAGTAACCTTTAAATTCGTTGTTGCAGTGGAATGCTGACTTCCCCTTATTTCAAGAATGGTTGCTTCAGGATACTCTCTCTCTCAAAGATCAATTTTATAACTCTAAATGTTTGTCTAAATAAATTTTTAACCTAGTCATTAAAAATCACTATTCTCTTTCTTTCCTGTACCCTTAGCTCAGAGCCTTCTGCTCTGTAAATGAAACAGGAATTCACTGAATCACCGAGCGGCCATAAATAAAATAAAATATTATTTCGTTAGTTATTTCTCTATTTGAGACGTAACAAAACTCTGAGTCTCGTATTATTATAAAAAAATTAATTCGAAGAAATTTTATTAAAATTATAAAAATTTTATTTCCAGTATTTTTATTGCATTAAATTAATTTTTATTTTTATTATAGAAAAAAATTTTAACGCATCATATTTAAAGTTAATTTAAATCAAATTGCGCCAATTTTGTCGCATGTGGTCGAGCAAAATTTAGGCGTCCGTTTCTTCTATCACTTTTATTTAATAATTCGAAATGGTGGGGATACATTTTTTTTCAAAATAATATATTATATTTTTGATTCTTATATTATTATATTATATACAATCTAAATTAAAAAAATTAATATTTTTTTTGTTGCACAATTTTTATATTTAATGTTAAAATAATATTTAATCTAAAAAATTACATATTAGATAACTAAGAGTGAGATGAGAAAACAAGTGACGCGTTTTCCTCTCAGTCTTGCATTTTCCCCTCCCCGCCATGTCTTAACATGATTGGTGGAAAATTCTGCTTTAGTTTTTTTGGAAAAATACAGCAAAAACGTCGCAATTTTAATTTTTGTCCTACTTTTTTTTTTATAAAATTATGTCAGAAATTAAATGGGCGTTTTTTTTGCCCTGGTTTTACTAAAAATTAAAACAGAAACTTGAGTATTTTAATTTTTGCTTTTGTCTTACAGAAAAATAGTGCAAAAATGGCGCCATTTTTATTTCTGCTCTACCTTTTTCTGTAAAATTATAGCAAAAAATAAAAACATCGGTATTATAATTTCTGCTATAGTTATATCGAAAAATAGAGCAAAAACAGCGCCTTTTTACTTTCTGACATATTTTTTTTACAAAAAAATAAAGCAAAAATTAAATTGACGCCTTTTTTGCACTGATTTTAACGAAAAATTACAACAACAAAATTGGGCATTTTAATTTCTGTTCTACTTTTTTCTTTAAAATTATGGCAGAAAATAAAAACTTCGGCATTTTAATTTTTGCTCTAGTTTTAGACGAAAGTAGAGCAAAAACAGTGCCATTGTAATTTCTGCCCTAATATTTCCGTTTAACTATGGCAGAAATTAAATTGTTGACGATTTTTGTCATATTTTTACGAATGATTAAAACAAAAGGGTCGGCATTTTAATTTCTGCTTTAGTTTTACGGAAAAATAGAGTAAAAATGGCGCAATTTTAATTTCTGCTCTATTTTTACTAAAAACTAAAGCAGAAATTAAAATAGAGCAGTTTTGCTATAGTTCTACAAAAAAAATAGAGCAGAATTTAAAATTTTAGCCATATTTTTACGAAAAGTTAAAGAAGAAATTAAAAGATCGGCGTTTTTGCTCTAATTTTTATAATTTGTTACAAAATCTAGAAATTTAACCTTTTAAGAACGGGAAGGACACTTTTTTAGAGCAATTATCAATGACATATTTCTCCGCGACTAAGAGTTTTAAAAATTTGAGAGGAAGTGTGTCTTATGTATTCGATATCTTAAACAATTTGCTGTTTCAATAGTACCAAATTGAAAGACATAATGAAGAAGAGTTTCATTTGTACAATTATCTTTGTAGAGAGCAATTTGTGGCTGTGTTTTTAATGTTTCTTTAAGAAGTGTCTGATCTCTATTTTGAAGGAAGGTAATAATATTTCGATATAATTTTCCCTCAGCTTCCACGTAATTTCTGTACACAGTGTCTGTAAATTTTATTTTATTTTTTTTTAATAATTGCTTTTTAACATAAACGCACAAGTGAACAAAATTTTTTCTACATTTAAAGATTTTTTTTCTAAAACGTCTAAATTGGGGGACGTATTATTATGTTCTAAAAATTATTATTTAGAATTTTCATAATTATTTTTGAGGCGAATTTTTATTTGTTCGAATTAATATTTTGCAGAATTTACATCAAAACGATTTTCTATATTAAAGAATTTTGATATAACCGAAAATTCACTTCACAGAATTTTTACACGGAAAGAAATCTTGTTATAATATTTAATAAATCGGAATAGAAATTTTGATATTTTTGTTTTTTAATTGCGAAACATTCTGGTTTGATAATAAAAGTTGGTATAGTTTTACGAATTCCTTTAACTGGAAACATTTTACGAAAACTGAAATTATTCAAATCTACAATTTTCGAATATTGAAAAAACTATAGGAAAAAACAGTATAGGAAGTAAACAGTCTAGCACTTTGTTATTTACTAAATTTATACGAAAAACAAGAACCAACATTTCGTAATTTGCTAAAACTATACGAAAAAGCAGGAGCCATGAAAAAAAGAAGGACGTTGGAACCACCAATGGCTCTTTTCTAAGATTTTTTTTCCTTTTCTATTCGAGGGTAGTGGGAGTCTTTCTTAATACACACACATAACTGGTACGCTTTGATTGGCTTAAAATTATTCCTAACACATCCTAACTACAATACGCATACATAAACGCAGAATAACGCAACGCATATAGATACATAATTCACGCTGAAATGAGAAATTCTCAACTTCTTTATATACTAAATAGACAGATTTTTCTGCACTTGTGAGAAACTTAATATTACATTGTTAAATATTTAAAAATAAAAATAAAAATAATTATTTATTACGAAATAATAAAATATTTTATTACCTTTCAAAGAACAATTTTTATAGACAACCCTCATGGAAGAAAGGTGGTTCGAAGCAAATTATTCCTGAACCTCGTCGTACCGAAGATAATGCCGATCCAACTCGTAAATATCAAATTTTATATTCACGTTTTATAATTTCAGTATAATTTAGAGTCAAATCATTTTTATTTTTCGTTTAAAATTATTATTGAAAAAAAAGTATTATTTAAATGAAATTTTCTTTTCAATTAATTTATATTAAAAAAAAAATATACTATCCAAACACTAATATACAAAAAATAGTTTCCAAACAATATTATTAAAAAAAAATAATTAAAAAAATATTATACTAAAAATTATAAAATCTGAAAATTTAAATTATTCTTCATTTATTATTATTATTATTTTTTTTTTAATTTAATTTTCACTCCACAGGTGTTTATAGTAGAGATACAAAAATTGTAAACTCCAAAAATGAAACATCATATTTGACAAATAAAACAAATTCACGGACAATAATTGAAAATCAAAAAAATATTTTAACATCAAAATGTAAAAAATCCGAACAAGAGCCAATTACATTGGAGAAATTACAACCAATTGATACTAGCGATTATAATAATCAATTATTGTCATCAAAAAAAGATGAAATGTTTCGTCGAACATCGAGTGTAAATTCAAATTCAATACCAGAAAAAATGAGTCTCATTATACCAGCGACAAAAATTGATAAAAATTTACAAACATTTGAAACACAACAACTTGAGTCGATGAAAAAATTTTTAAAACACGAAGAAAACGCAATTTTAGAATCGGGTTATTCAAGTCGTTCGCTAAAATGTAATGATTCATTATTTCATTCTTTTGCCTCAAGTAGAACATGGTTTGAAGATTCCGTGTCTGACGATACTAAAAGTGATTATTCATTTTCTCTAAAGGGACGACGAGCAATGAAAAAATATTGAAATTATTCTCCAATATAAGAAATCTGCTTAATTTAAATTGTAACATATTTGTATAGAGTAATTGTAAAAATCAATTTTTTTTTTTTTATTAGAAAAGACAAAATTAATGAAAAAAATAATTTCTGAATTATTGCCAAAAAATTAAAAAAAAAGATAAAATTACTTGAAAAAAAAATTTGGTAATAAAATTAATTGAAAAGAATGTAAAATATATAAATTTTAATCGAATTGAGAATAACAATTTTTGTAACAAAAATTTCTAAATTTAAAGATACAAAACATTGGTTTTTGTAATTTTATATATTTATTATTACAATTATAACGAAATTTTCTCTGTTTTTACAACGCTTTTTATTTTCCATAAAATTTTTCAAGTCGATAAATTAGTTTGATAACGTTTACAATTATTTTATTTTTTTATTGTCTTGTAAAGACATAAGACAAAGCAACGAGTGAATGATAATAAAAAAAAAACTTAAAATAATCTTTCGTGCTTTAACATCACGAAACTTTATTTCCATTTGGTTTTTTTAATAAGTTTTATCATTTATTTCAAAAATATTCAAATTTTTGTAAAAAAAAAAAATGCGAAAAAAAATCTACGAATTAATATTATTACGTATTTTTTTTTTTTTTTTTTTTTTTGTAAAAATAAATAATTATAATTTAAGTGGAAGAAATAATTGTAATTTTATTAAAAGCAATAATTTTAATTTTAATGAAAGAAATATTTATAATTTTTTATGTAAGAAACAAAGAAAATGTTAATTTATGCAAAATGAAAAAATCTAATTATATTTAATTGTACAAATTTTGTTTCAATTTTTTAATGAAAGTATTATGCAATAAATATTTAATTATTAATATGTAAAAAAAAAATATTTATGGAATAATAATAATTACTATCTTTATAATTGAATCTGTATATTTTTTATAAATTTCTAATAAATGTATAAAGTGTAATAAAAATCTGTAATTAATTTTTAATTAAATTAAAAAATGTTTTTTTTTTAATAAATTTCACTATCAACCGAAATAAATTTGGTACAATATTACGATTTTTTTTTCTCTTTTCTTTCGAAAATTCAAATTTATTACAAATCTGAAAGTAAATTTAAAAAATTCCGAATTCTTTATGAATTCTAAATGAAAAGTTTAAAATTATCAAAATTTTAATTAATTTACGTTTCTTATTTAAATTATTCCAGTTGTCCGAATTTTAATTTATTCAAATACTAATTGATTTCAAGTTTAAAACAGTATTCAAATTTTAAATCGAATGATGTCTCAAATCATCAAAATGTTAATTTAACGTTTAAAATTATTTCAAATTTTTTAATATTGGTTTCAGTTGGAAATTTTTTGAATTTTAAATTATTAAAGTTAAAATTAGAATTCTAATTTATTCAAATTTAAATTGATTTAATTTTTGAATTATCAGAATTACAATTTTTGTTCAAATTAAGAAATGGAAGAAAAAGAAGGCAACAATGAAACACTAAAATCTCTCTCAGATACTTAACATAAATAAAGATGAGAAAAAATTTTTTATTGAATTATAATTATATATTTATATAATTATTATATTTATTATAATTATATATTTTTTTTAAATAAGAAATCATAAACAAGAAATCTTTAAATGACATTTTTGTCGAAATCCTTTTGAGAATCGCTCATAAATATATCAAGTTAAAATTATTTTCTTTGTAGATTAAAAAGAAATATTCAATACATCATCATTAAACTAAGTCATCTTCTTCTGATTATAATCCATTAATCTGTTTATTTCAATAAAAAGAGGGAAAATTATTTAATTTAGAAAACAAAATTATTAAAATAAATATTAACAAAATTAATTCATTTTAATTAAATTTCTAATGAATTTATCAATTAAATTTTTGTTTCTTTTTCGGAAATAATTACAGTAGAAAAATTGACAAGAAAATATTTTTAAATTTATTTATTTATTTATACTCACAACTGAAGCATAATCAGTAATGGAATTCCAATAATCGAATGGAAGAGAAAAAAAAGCATCAATAATCTGTAAATAATAAATTTAATAATTAAAAAAATAACCAATAGAGAACAATAATTATAAAAATAGAATAAATTGAAAATTTATCTACTTTTTTCTGATTATCTGCAGAGATACTAGTAAAAAAAAAAGCTTTTCTATAATATAAGTTTAGTCTCGATTGTAAAACGCTATTTTCATTTTTTAAAACTCGTTTTAAATGTATCATCAGCAATGCAAGAGTTTTTCGGTTTACAAGCGGAAGTTTGTCAATCAGTTCTTTTAATTTTTCGAAATCAACTGTTGATTTTACAGCTTGTGACAATTTTTTACTAAATTGAAAAGCAATCAAAGGTGACTTCAAATCTCTAAAATAAATTTAAAAAGATTATTATGATAATAAAAAAAATTAAGAAAAATTGAGAAATTTTGATTGACTTTTTTTTACCTCAAAAATATTCTGATAATTTTGGGTAATATCAGACTGTTATATTGTGATAAATCGACATTGTCAGAAAGTAACATTTCTTTCAATAAATTATAGTCATTTACATTCCTGTATTTGGAATAATTATAAGAGTTTTGTATATAATTTATTCCTCTTTTTTCCAGTTCCTTTATGGATCTTATAATTATTAAAGGTATGGAAGAGTTAAGTGGATAATCTTCAATGTAAAGCTAAATAAAATAAAATTATTTAATATTTTTTAAATTATTATTGAATAATTGAATTTGAAGTGATTTTTAGTTTGAAATTTTTGTAAATTTGAATTACTGAAGATTTTTTTCTACAAATTACAGACAATAAATAAATATTAAAAATTTTCTAATTAAAAAATATAGGTACTAATAATTGTAAAAAAGATATTTTTTGTTAAAAATATTTAATAGTTTTTAACCTTTTGTGGTTCCCTTTCATCTGAATTTTGCTGCATTGTCTCATCTTCTGCCGATAATAGATGAATCTGTTTATTAGAATAAAGAGAGGAAAACTTTTATTAAAATGAGAAAAGTGATTTCTTAAAAAAATATTTTATTTTCTTTTTAATGAAATTAGTTTATAATTGAGCTGCCTGATCAAAGAATGTCACATAATCCATATGAATTACATTAGTTATGCTCCCTTCTTTAATCCGGCAGCTCTATAATGAACAAAAAAAAAGTCAAGTTTGCAAAAAGTACTTATGATTTTCCGTAATCTCTTGAAATAAAATGATTTAGACTAAAATATGATACTTAATAAATACTTAATAAATACTTCAATAAAAATTGTCAAATTATTTAATTTAGAAAAAAATTACTAGAATACACGTTTTTAAAAAAAATTTATTCATTTTATTAAATTTCTACTTAATTTATTAATTGAATTTTTGTTTCTCTTTAAGAAATTAAGTAAAATTGAAAAATTGACAAGAAAATATTTTTAAATTTATTTATTTATTTATACTCACAACTGTATCATAATCAGTAATGGAATTCCAATAATCGGATGGAAGAGAAAAAAAAGCATCAAAAATCTGTAAATAATAAATTTAATAATTAACAAAGTAACCAATAGAGAACAATAATTATAAAAATAGAATAAATTGAAAATTCATCTACTTTTTCCTGTTTATCTACAGGCAGGTGTTCAGAAAAAGCAGCTTTTCTATAATATAAGTTTATTCTCGATTGCAAAACGCTATTTTCATTTTTTAAAACTCGTTTTAAATGTATCATCAGCAATGCAAGAGTTTTTCGGTTTACAAGCGGAAGTTTGTCAATCAGTTCTTTTAATTTTTTGAAATCAACTGTTGATTCTACAATTTGTGACAAGTTTTTATTCATACGAGAAACAATCAAAGGTGACTTCAAATCACTAAAATAAATTTAAAAAGATTATTATGATAATAAAAAAAATTACGAAAAATTGAGAAATTGTTGATTGACTTTTTTTTTACCTTAAAAATGTTTTGATAATTTTGGGAAATATCAGAGGGTCATATTGTGATAAATCGACATTGTCAGAAAGTATCATTTCTTTCAATAAATTATTCTCATTCACATTCGTGTTTCTTGAATAATAATAACTGTTTTGTATATTATTTATTCCTCTGTTCTCCAGTTCCTGTATGGATCTTATAATTATTAAAGGTATTGAAGAGTTAAGTGGATAATCTTCAATGTAGAGCTATAAAATAAAGTTATTTAATATTAATATTTTTTAAATTATTATTGAATAATTGAATTTGAAGCGATTTTTCGTTTGGAATTTTTGTAAAATTGAATTACTGAAGATTTTTTTCTACAAATTACAGGCGATAAATAAATATTAAAAATTTTCAAATTAAAAAATATAGGTACTAATAATTGTAAAAAAGATATTTTTTGTTAAAAATATTTAATAGTTTTTAACCTTTTGCGGTTCCCTTTCATCTGAATTTTGCTGCATTGTCTCATCTTGTGACGATAATACATGAATCTGTTTATTAGAATAAAGAGAGGAAAACTTTTATTAAAATGAGAAAAGTGATTTCTTAAAAAAATATTTTATTTTCTTTTTAATGAAATTAGTTTATAATTGAGCTGCCTGATCAAAGAATGTCACATAATCCATATAAATTACATTAGTTATGCTCCCTTCTTTAATCCGGCAGCTCTATAATGAACAAAAAAAAAGTCAAGTTTGCAAAAAGTACTTATGATTTTCCGCAATCTCTTGAAATAAAATGATTTAGACTAAAATATGATACTTAATAAATACTTAATAAATACTTCAATAAAAATTGTCAAATTATTTAATTTAGAAAAAAATTACTAGAATACACGTTTTTAAAAAAAATTTATTCATTTTATTAAATTTCTACTTAATTTATTAATTGAATTTTTGTTTCTCTTTAAGAAATTAAGTAAAATTGAAAAATTGACAAGAAAATATTTTTAAATTTATTTATTTATTTATACTCACAACTGTATCATAATCAGTAATGGAATTCCAATAATCGGATGGAAGAGAAAAAAAAGCATCAAAAATCTGTAAATAATAAATTTAATAATTAACAAAGTAACCAATAGAGAACAGTAATTATAAAAATAGAATAAATTGAAAATTCATCTACTTTTTCCTGTTTATCTATAGGGAGGTGTTTAGAAAAAGCAGCATTTCTATAATATAAGTTTATTCTCGATTGCAAAACGCTATTTTCATTTTTTAAAACTCGTTTTAAATGTATCATCAGCAATGCAAGAGTTTTTCGGTTTACAAGCGGAAGTTTGTCAATCAGTTCTTTTAATTTTTCGAAATCAACTGTTGATTTTACAGCTTGTGACAAGTTTTTATTCATACGAGAAACAATCAAAGGTGACCTCAAATCACTAAAATAAATTTAAAAAGATTATTATGATAATAAAAAAAATTACGAAAAATTGAGAAATTGTTGATTGACTTTTTTTTTACCTTAAAAATGTTTTGATAATTTTGGGAAATATCAGAGGGTCATATTGTGATAAATCGACATTGTCAGAAAGTATCATTTCTTTCAATAAATTATTCTCATTCACATTCGTGTTTCTTGAATAATAATAACTGTTTTGTATATTATTTATTCCTCTGTTCTCCAGTTCCTGTATGGATCTTATAATTATTAAAGGTATTGAAGAGTTAAGTGGATAATCTTCAATGTAGAGCTAAATAAAATAAAGTTATTTAATATTAATATTTTTTAAATTATTATTGAATAATTGAATTTGAAGCGATTTTTCGTTTGGAATCTTTGTAAAATTGAATTACTGAAGATTTTTTTCTACAAATTACAGGCGATAAATAAATATTAAAAATTTTCAAATTAAAAAATATAGGTACTAATAATTGTAAAAAAGATATTTTTTGTTAAAAATATTTAATAGTTTTTAACCTTTTGTGGTTCCCTTTCATCTGAATTTTGCTGCATTGTCTCATCTCCTGACGATAATACATGAATCTGTTTATTAGAATAAAGAGAGGAAAACTTTTATTAAAATGAGAAAAGTGATTTCTTAAAAAAATATTTTATTTTCTTTTTAATGAAATTAGTTTATAATTGAGCTGCCTGATCAAAGAATGTCACATAATCCATATGAATTACATTAGTTATGCTCCCTTCTTTAATCCGGCAGCTCTATAATAAACAAATAAAAAGTCAAGTTTCCAAAAACTACTTATAATTTTCCGTAATCTCTTGAAATAAAATGATTTAGACTAAATGATACTTTAGACTAAATGAAATGAATTGATCCGAATAGATCAATTGTAGTAACGCTAGTTGCTAGATCCAATTCACAGTTTTTTAAATATTCGCGCTAAAATTCCGAGTGTCTCCACCTGATGGCCTCTCTCAGCTATCCCGCGTCTCTCACTTATTCAGCCATTATGCTTTTATGTTGGATTAATTCAAATCGATATGGGTTCATTAGGGTTGGGTGGGAGTGATCTATTCGGACGAGATCTACTTGCATAATTACGATTGAACTTCACTTCAGGTAAGTTCATTTAATCGTACAATTATGCTACGTGATCTCGTCCTTAAGATCAATTGTAGTTGTTTAAAGAAGGAAAAGATATCGATTTGAAGAACAAATTTTATTTCTTACATTCAAGTACTGTCTTCGCAAAATTACATTTTTCTCGGAGGGGACGATTATAAAACTTTCCAAATACATTAGAATTTTTAGACCAGCCTGCTGCAAGCCTAATGCTCTCAATATCTAATCCCTTGCGTTGGGCTGCCAAAACGGCGGCGTGTTTTGAGCTGTAGCCTGCGAACGTGGTGACATCAATACCGCTTTCGTTCATAATATCTTTAAGCCAACGACTGGCTGTTTGTGCGGTTGCTGGATGATGTGGCTTTTTAAAAGTTAATAGTAAGGAGTTCACTCCTGTTTCTCTTATTGTTTTTGTTTTTTCTAAATATACTTTAATGAAGGTTGCGACGCAGAGATTCGGCTGTTCTAGAAGGTAGGGAAAGCGCAACATAGGTTGCTCTTTCCCTATCTTGGACGTTTTAATCCTATCCGGAATGTAAATTTTTATTTCATTATTATGAATTTTAATATTATGAATATCTATTTTTACCAGAGTCTGTAACCGCTGAGCGGTAGACAACGCAAGGAGAGTTAACAATTTTTTAGTTATAGTTTCTAAATTTAATTTTTCGTTAGGGCCGAGTTCCTCTAGGTACCGCAAGACGATGTCGGGGTCCCATATGTCTTTATATTTTGCACGTGAAGGTTTGGCGATTGAAAAACCTTTACAATATCTTTTGACCAAGGGGTTACTTCCAAGGTCGTACTTTAAAACAAGAGATACGGCGGAGCGGTAACTGTTTAGAGTGCCGTATGTTTTTATTGATTCGGATAATGACGTTAAAAAATTTAAGACATCCTGGACCGGGGCTTCGAACATTGATATTCCCTTCGTTTTACAGTGGTTCCACCACAACCTCAAGGGTTTGTTGTACTGCTGGATGGTACTGGTTGATAATGATTGAAGTGTGAGTGGAATTGAAACCTCCGGAATTCCTTGTGCTAAAAAAGCTTCCCTGATAAAAGACTTGCTACCAGGATAAGCTTGTTCGCCAGTGGATGCGTCTCCCTAAACGAAGAAAAAAGTAAATTATTATCCGGTTTAAAATGTTCGAGATCACTTATTGACATTGAGTTATATAAGGGAAACCAAGACTGAGTTGGCCAGTATGGTACGACAAGTACGCCTTCAGATTTATCGGTGATTATTTTTTGCAAAGTTCGAAGAATGAGTGAGAATGGGGGAAAAGCGTAAAATTTATATTGATCCCATTTCACGGTAAATACATCTACTGCACAAGAGTTCGGGTCCTGCTTCCAAGAAATAAATTTCTTGCATTTATTGTTCGAGCTAGATGCAAATAAGTCTATTTCGAATTTGCCGAAGATGTTTTCGAGTTTTGTAAACGCGTAAGGTGCTAACTCCCATTCGGTTTCTTTAGGTAATAATCGAGATTCTCTATCGGCTATGGAATTTTCACGTGATGCGATGTATGACGCGAAAATCCATAACTTGCGTTCTTCGCACCACTGCCATATCTGCTTACATAAACTACTGAGTTTTGGGTACTGTACACTGCCCATTTTGTTTATATAAGAGATCGCAGTTGTGTTGTCAATGCGTAGGTTTTTGGCAAAGCATTTTAATCCGTAAAATGCTGCCAGGAGTTCGAGGTAATTAATATGATCATCGCGTTGGTCTGCGCTCCACCAACCGTGAGTACGATTGTTTCCGGTAACCGCTCCCCAACCAGTTAATGAGGCGTCTGTAAAAATCTCGAGGGTAAACTCCGATGTTCGAATGGGGTTGGTGGCTACTAGGATATTGTCGATCCACCATTTTAAATCGGGCAACAATTTTTTCGGAAGGTTCATTCGGCTCTCGTAATTACCGTTTTCCTTAACTAGTGATAAATATTTTTCCCTTTCTAAATTTTTTGTATACAAGGTACCGTATTGTATGGCTGGACACGAAGCTATTAATAAACCTAGAAATTGTGCTAGTTCTCGAATTTTGCAAGTTTTCTTTACCTAAAATTCTTTTGCTTTCGTATAAATTGTTTTCTTTTTATCGTCTGTTAATTCTATTGACATTTTTTGCGTATTCCATATGAACCCAAGATACTTGGCACTTTTTGATGGTACGATGTTAGATTTTTCTAGGTTCACGATAAAACCCAAGTTCTTTAGTAAAATTTGTGTTGCTCGAATATTTTCGAGGCACTCTGTTTTTGTTTTGCCAATTATCAAAAAATCATCTAAATAAACTACAGATAAAAATAATCGCGATCTCAAGTTCTCGACGACCGGTTTCATGAGTAATAAATGCCTCTAAACATAAATCTCAAATATTTTCTAAACGGGGCAGCTACCGGAATTAAAAGAAAAGCGTCTGTAAGGTCAAGAGTTGCTAGAAATGCCCCTTTAAATAGGATTCTAGCAACCGTTTTTCTGTCCTCGAGCTTAAAGTGGAGAGGATCAAGAAAAACATTTAACTTTTTAAGATTTAAAATAAATCTTTTTTGTCCATTGGACTTATCAGCAAGAAAATAAGTGGATAAAAATTGACCTTCGAATGGTGAACACATTGACAACGCCCCTTTTTTAATTAATTTTTGGATCGCCACGTTATACTCGATTTCCTCTTGTGCCGGTATGTTAGGCTCCTTGGGAGCTTCGGCTTGCCAAGGTTTAGATTTGAAGGGAATTTCGTATGCAGTAACGTATTGGAGAATCAAGGGATCAGTTGTCAATTTTTCCCAGTTATGGGCAAACAGTCTTAGTCTCCCTGCAATAATATTTTCACTTACTTGTTCTAACGACGAGGTTTCTCGTAAAGGCGATTCCGCTGTTCCTTCTGATGTCCTCCCTGGCGAGTTTCCTTGAAGCTCCTTTTGGGGGGACCTCGGTAGTTTAAAGGACGAGGATATGCTTCCTTCGGGTATATTCTTTTCTTTTCGATTGGTGTTTTTGTTGACGGCTTTGCGATTTCCTTGCCGGATTTTTCGGCACTTTTCGCCGCACTCAGTTTTTCAGTGAATTTTTCTCCGTAGAGCAAAGTATCTACGTCACAATCTTCGGCGACGTTTTTAACGAGTTGATTTAATCCCGGCGTGATAAAAGATCGACGGGTTAACGAGATCCTGTGGTGTAAATCGGTTAAAATTCTCCCTGCGTCTGCTAATAAGACTATTAGCTGGGAAACATTTATTTCGGCTTGTGGTTTTGACAGAAGTTCTGACAAGCACGTTCCCAAGGCTATTACTCCAGCGCTTAGCTGGTTTTGGTTGAGGACCTGAAAGCTGTCCTTTTTTAGAGACAATTGTCCTATGACAGATTTTATTTCTGGGTTGAGTTTTGGAGATTGCAATATCTTGCAATTGATAGCAGTTGGGTACTTTTCAATAAGCTCTTTCCTTATATCCTTGGAAAGCCCTGCTTTTAATATATTTTCCCATACATCGACTAATTTTTTATTTAATTCTGGGCCGAATTTAATATTTTCGTTCACACTACACAATAGGTTAAGTGCTTCGGCGTCAATGGTCGAGTTTTCGATTTCCGGCTGTTGTCGTAAATGTTCGGGAGAGTTCGTTCTTTCGCGTGAACGCTACCTACGCCGCTTTCGTGAGGCTTTTACTGGATCGGTCGAAGCGTTAGAGCTCGAGCCGCTTGATGATGAATCCGATGAAGATGATCTGGATGTGCTAGACGAGGATGAAGATGGGGATGAAGACGGAGAACGACGCCTGCGACGACTATGACGTGACGTGCCTCTCGGGTCACGCTCACCGTCAATTCTGTTGTCTTTTGGTTTTTTATACAATTCATTTTGGGTTCCCCTGTTGATCGAAATTGACCGTGATCGGTCCCGACTGTGACGTGACAGACCTCTCGGGTTCTGCTCGCCGTCAACGTTGTCGTTCGAACGCCTCGTGTTACTCGACCTTGAAGGTAATCTTTCGTTCCTCCTATTACGTAGATGTTGTAATTCTTCGAAAATTCTCTCTAATTTCTTGTCCCTCTTCCTCTTGCGAGACTTTTTGGACTTCTTAGACTTTTTCCTATCACGACCCATATCGAAACTTTATATTAATTTTCTGATTGCACTCGCGAGCGTGTGTAAAGGATCGCACAGAAAAGCGTAATGGCTGAATAAGTGAGAGACGCGGGATAGCTGAGAGAGGCCATCAGGTGGAGACACTCGGAATTTTAGCGCGAATATTTAAAAAACTGTGAATTGGATCTAGCAACTAGCGTTAATACAATTGATCTAGAGGACGAGATCACGTAGCATAATTAAATTTCTACTTAATTTGTTAATTGAATTTTTGTTTCTCTTTAAGAAATTAAGTAAAATTGAAAAATTGACAAGAAAATATTTTTAAATTTATTTATTTATTTATACTCACAACTGAAGCATAATCAGTAATGGAATTCCAATAATCGAATGGAAGAGAAAAAAAAGCATCAACAATCTGTAAATAATAAATTTAATAATTAAAAAAATAACCAATAGAGAACAATAATTATAAAAATAGAATAAATTGAAAATTTATCTACTTTTTTCTGATTATCTGCAGAGATATTAGTAAAAAAAAAAGCTTTTCTATAATATAAGTTTAGTCTCGATTGTAAAACGCTTTTTTTATTTTTTAAAACTCGTTTTGAATGTATCATCAGCAATGCAAGAGTTTTTCGGTTTACAAGCGGAAGTTTGTCAATCAGTTCTTTTAATTTTTTGAAATCAACTGTTGATTCTACAATTTGTGACAAGTTTTTATTCATACGAGAAACAATCAAAGGTGACTTCAAATCACTAAAATAAATTTAAAAAGATTATTATGATAATAAAAAAAATTACGAAAAATTGAGAAATTTTGATTGACTTTTTTTTTACCTCAAAAATGTTTTGATAATTTTGGGAAATATCAGAGGGTCATATTGTGATAAATCGACATTGTCAGAAAGTATCATTTCTTTCAATAAATTATTCTCATTCACATTCGTGTTTCTTGAATAATAATAACTGTTTTGTATATTATTTATTCCTCTGTTTTCCAGTTCCTGTATGGATCTTATAATTATTAAAGGTATTGAAGAGTTAAGTGGATAATCTTCAATGTAGAGCTATAAAATAAAGTTATTTAATATTAATATTTTTTAAATTATTATTGAATAATTGAATTTGAAGCGATTTTTCGTTTGGAATTTTTGTAAAATTGAATTACTGAAGATTTTTTTCTACAAATTACAGGCGATAAATAAATATTAAAAATTTTCAAATTAAAAAATATAGGTACTAATAATTGTAAAAAAGATATTTTTTGTTAAAAATATTTAATAGTTTTTAACCTTTTGTGGTTCCCTTTCATCTGAATTTTGCTGCATTGTCTCATCTTGTGACGATAATACATGAATCTGTTTATTAGAATAAAGAGAGGTAAACTTTTATTAAAATGAGAAAAGTGATTTCTTAAAAAAATATTTTATTTTCTTTTTAATGAAATTAGTTTATAATTGAGCTGCCTGATCAAAGAATGTCACATAATCCATATAAATTACATTAGTTATGCTCCCTTCTTTAATCCGGCAGCTCTATAATGAACAAAAAAAAAGTCAAGTTTGCAAAAAGTACTTATGATTTTCCGCAATCTCTTGAAATAAAATGATTTAGGCTAAAATATGATACTTAATAAATACTTAATAAATACTTCAATAAAAATTGTCAAATTATTTAATTTAGAAAAAAATTACTAGAATACACGTTTTTAAAAAAAATTTATTCATTTTATTAAATTTCTACTTAATTTATTAATTGAATTTTTGTTTCTCTTTAAGAAATTAAGTAAAATTGAAAAATTGACAAGAAAATATTTTTAAATTTATTTATTTATTTATACTCACAACTGTATCATAATCAGTAATGGAATTCCAATAATCGGATGGAAGAGAAAAAAAAGCATCAAAAATCTGTAAATAATAAATTTAATAATTAACAAAGTAACCAATAGAGAACAATAATTATAAAAATAGAATAAATTGAAAATTCATCTACTTTTTCCTGTTTATCTACAGGCAGGTGTTCAGAAAAAGCAGCTTTTCTATAATATAAGTTTATTCTCGATTGCAAAACGCTATTTTCATTTTTTAAAACTCGTTTTAAATGTATCATCAGCAATGCAAGAGTTTTTCGGTTTACAAGCGGAAGTTTGTCAATCAGTTCTTTTAATTTTTTGAAATCAACTGTTGATTCTACAATTTGTGACAAGTTTTTATTCATACGAGAAACAATCAAAGGTGACTTCAAATCACTAAAATAAATTTAAAAAGATTATTATGATAATAAAAAAAATTACGAAAAATTGAGAAATTTTGATTGACTTTTTTTTTACCTCAAAAATGTTTTGATAATTTTGGGAAATATCAGAGGGTCATATTGTGATAAATCGACATTGTCAGAAAGTATCATTTCTTTCAATAAATTATTCTCATTCACATTCGTGTTTCTTGAATAATAATAACTGTTTTGTATATTATTTATTCCTCTGTTTTCCAGTTCCTGTATGGATCTTATAATTATTAAAGGTATTGAAGAGTTAAGTGGATAATCTTCAATGTAGAGCTATAAAATAAAGTTATTTAATATTAATATTTTTTAAATTATTATTGAATAATTGAATTTGAAGCGATTTTTCGTTTGGAATTTTTGTAAAATTGAATTACTGAAGATTTTTTTCTACAAATTACAGGCGATAAATAAATATTAAAAATTTTCAAATTAAAAAATATAGGTACTAATAATTGTAAAAAAGATATTTTTTGTTAAAAATATTTAATAGTTTTTAACCTTTTGTGGTTCCCTTTCATCTGAATTTTGCTGCATTGTCTCATCTTGTGACGATAATACATGAATCTGTTTATTAGAATAAAGAGAGGAAAACTTTTATTAAAATGAGAAAAGTGATTTCTTAAAAAAATATTTTATTTTCTTTTTAATGAAATTAGTTTATAATTGAGCTGCCTGATCAAAGAATGTCACATAATCCATATGAATTACATGAGTTATGCTCCCTTCTTTAATCCGGCAGCTCTATAATGAACAAAAAAAAAGTCAAGTTTGCAAAAAGTACTTATGATTTTCCGCAATCTCTTGAAATAAAATGATTTAGACTAAAATATGATACTTAATAAATACTTAATAAATACTTCAATAAAAATTGTCAAATTATTTAATTTAGAAAAAAATTACTAGAATACACGTTTTTAAAAAAAATTTATTCATTTTATTAAATTTCTACTTAATTTATTAATTGAATTTTTGTTTCTCTTTAAGAAATTAAGTAAAATTGAAAAATTGACAAGAAAATATTTTTAAATTTATTTATTTATTTATACTCACAACTGTATCATAATCAGTAATGGAATTCCAATAATCGGATGGAAGAGAAAAAAAAGCATCAAAAATCTGTAAATAATAAATTTAATAATTAACAAAGTAACCAATAGAGAACAATAATTATAAAAATAGAATAAATTGAAAATTCATCTACTTTTTCCTGTTTATCTATAGGGAGGTGTTTAGAAAAAGCAGCATTTCTATAATATAAGTTTATTCTCGATTGCAAAACGCTATTTTCATTTTTTAAAACTCGTTTTAAATGTATCATCAGCAATGCAAGAGTTTTTCGGTTTACAAGCGGAAGTTTGTCAATCAGTTCTTTTAATTTTTCGAAATCAACTGTTGATTTTACAGCTTGTGACAAGTTTTTATTCATACGAGAAACAATCAAAGGTGACCTCAAATCACTAAAATAAATTTAAAAAGATTATTATGATAATAAAAAAAATTACGAAAAATTGAGAAATTGTTGATTGACTTTTTTTTTACCTTAAAAATGTTTTGATAATTTTGGGAAATATCAGAGGGTCATATTGTGATAAATCGACATTGTCAGAAAGTATCATTTCTTTCAATAAATTATTCTCATTCACATTCGTGTTTCTTGAATAATAATAACTGTTTTGTATATTATTTATTCCTCTGTTTTCCAGTTCCTGTATGGATCTTATAATTATTAAAGGTATTGAAGAGTTAAGTGGATAATCTTCAATGTAGAGCTAAATAAAATAAAGTTATTTAATATTAATATTTTTTAAATTATTATTGAATAATTGAATTTGAAGCGATTTTTCGTTTGGAATCTTTGTAAAATTGAATTACTGAAGATTTTTTTCTACAAATTACAGGCGATAAATAAATATTAAAAATTTTCAAATTAAAAAATATAGGTACTAATAATTGTAAAAAAGATATTTTTTGTTAAAAATATTTAATAGTTTTTAACCTTGTCTGGTTGCCTTTCATCTGAATTTTGCTGCATTGTCTCATCTCCTGACGATAATACATGAATCTGTTTATTAGAATAAAGAGAGGAAAACTTTTATTAAAATGAGAAAAGTGATTTCTTAAAAAAATATTTTATTTTCTTTTTAATGAAATTAGTTTATAATTGAGCTGCCTGATCAAAGAATGTCACATAATCCATATGAATTACATTAGTTATGCTCCCTTCTTTAATCCGGCAGCTCTATAATAAACAAATAAAAAGTCAAGTTTCCAAAAACTACTTATAATTTTCCGTAATCTCTTGAAATAAAATGATTTAGACTAAATGATACTTTAGACTAAATGAAATGAATTGATCCGAATAGATCAATTGTAGTAACGCTAGTTGCTAGATCCAATTCACAGTTTTTTAAATATTCGCGCTAAAATTCCGAGTGTCTCCACCTGATGGCCTCTCTCAGCTATCCCGCGTCTCTCACTTATTCAGCCATTATGCTTTTATGTTGGATTAATTCAAATCGATATGGGTTCATTAGGGTTGGGTGGGAGTGATCTATTCGGACGAGATCTACTTGCATAATTACGATTGAACTTCACTTCAGGTAAGTTCATTTAATCGTAAAATTATGCTACGTGATCTCGTCCTTAAGATCAATTGTAGTTGTTTAAAGAAGGAAAAGATATCGATTTGAAGAACAAATTTTATTTCTTACATTCAAGTACTGTCTTCGCAAAATTACATTTTTCTCGGAGGGGACGATTATAAAACTTTCCAAATACATTAGAATTTTTAGACCAGCCTGCTGCAAGCCTAATGCTCTCAATATCTAATCCCTTGCGTTGGGCTGCCAAAACGGCGGCGTGTTTTGAGCTGTAGCCTGCGAACGTGGTGACATCAATACCGCTTTCGTTCATAATATCTTTAAGCCAACGACTGGCTGTTTGTGCGGTTGCTGGATGATGTGGCTTTTTAAAAGTTAATAGTAAGGAGTTCACTCCTGTTTCTCTTATTGTTTTTGTTTTTTCTAAATATACTTTAATGAAGGTTGCGACGCAGAGATTCGGCTGTTCTAGAAGGTAGGGAAAGCGCAACATAGGTTGCTCTTTCCCTATCTTGGACGTTTTAATCCTATCCGGAATGTAAATTTTTATTTCATTATTATGAATTTTAATATTATGAATATCTATTTTTACCAGAGTCTGTAACCGCTGAGCGGTAGACAACGCAAGGAGAGTTAACAATTTTTTAGTTATAGTTTCTAAATTTAATTTTTCGTTAGGGCCGAGTTCCTCTAGGTACCGCAAGACGATGTCGGGGTCCCATATGTCTTTATATTTTGCACGTGAAGGTTTGGCGATTGAAAAACCTTTACAATATCTTTTGACCAAGGGGTTACTTCCAAGGTCGTACTTTAAAACAAGAGATACGGCGGAGCGGTAACTGTTTAGAGTGCCGTATGTTTTTATTGATTCGGATAATGACGTTAAAAAATTTAAGACATCCTGGACCGGGGCTTCGAACATTGATATTCCCTTCGTTTTACAGTGGTTCCACCACAACCTCAAGGGTTTGTTGTACTGCTGGATGGTACTGGTTGATAATGATTGAAGTGTGAGTGGAATTGAAACCTCCGGAATTCCTTGTGCTAAAAAAGCTTCCCTGATAAAAGACTTGCTACCAGGATAAGCTTGTTCGCCAGTGGATGCGTCTCCCTAAACGAAGAAAAAAGTAAATTATTATCCGGTTTAAAATGTTCGAGATCACTTATTGACATTGAGTTATATAAGGGAAACCAAGACTGAGTTGGCCAGTATGGTACGACAAGTACGCCTTCAGATTTATCGGTGATTATTTTTTGCAAAGTTCGAAGAATGAGTGAGAATGGGGGAAAAGCGTAAAATTTATATTGATCCCATTTCACGGTAAATACATCTACTGCACAAGAGTTCGGGTCCTGCTTCCAAGAAATAAATTTCTTGCATTTATTGTTCGAGCTAGATGCAAATAAGTCTATTTCGAATTTGCCGAAGATGTTTTCGAGTTTTGTAAACGCGTAAGGTGCTAACTCCCATTCGGTTTCTTTAGGTAATAATCGAGATTCTCTATCGGCTATGGAATTTTCACGTGATGCGATGTATGACACGAAAATCCATAACTTGCGTTCTTCGCACCACTGCCATATCTGCTTACATAAACTACTGAGTTTTGGGTACTGTACACTGCCCATTTTGTTTATATAAGAGATCGCAGTTGTGTTGTCAATGCGTAGGTTTTTGGCAAAGCATTTTAATCCGTAAAATGCTGCCAGGAGTTCGAGGTAATTAATATGATCATCGCGTTGGTCTGCGCTCCACCAACCGTGAGTACGATTGTTTCCGGTAACCGCTCCCCAACCAGTTAATGAGGCGTCTGTAAAAATCTCGAGGGTAAACTCCGATGTTCGAATGGGGTTGGTGGCTACTAGGATATTGTCGATCCACCATTTTAAATCGGGCAACAATTTTTTCGGAAGGTTCATTCGGCTCTCGTAATTACCGTTTTCCTTAACTAGTGATAAATATTTTTCCCTTTCTAAATTTTTTGTATACAAGGTACCGTATTGTATGGCTGGACACGAAGCTATTAATAAACCTAGAAATTGTGCTAGTTCTCGAATTTTGCAAGTTTTCTTTACCTAAAATTCTTTTGCTTTCGTATAAATTGTTTTCTTTTTATCGTCTGTTAATTCTATTGACATTTTTTGCGTATTCCATATGAACCCAAGATACTTGGCACTTTTTGATGGTACGATGTTAGATTTTTCTAGGTTCACGATAAAACCCAAGTTCTTTAGTAAAATTTGTGTTGCTCGAATATTTTCGAGGCACTCTGTTTTTGTTTTGCCAATTATCAAAAAATCATCTAAATAAACTACAGATAAAAATAATCGCGATCTCAAGTTCTCGACGACCGGTTTCATGAGTTTCGTGAAAACATATGGGGCTGTGCATAAGCCAAATGGAACACAATTGAATTCGTAATAAATGCCTCTAAACATAAATCTCAAATATTTTCTAAACGGGGCAGCTACCGGAATTAAAAGAAAAGCGTCTGTAAGGTCAAGAGTTGCTAGAAATGCCCCTTTAAATAGGATTCTAGCAACCGTTTTTCTGTCCTCGAGCTTAAAGTGGAGAGGATCAAGAAAAACATTTAACTTTTTAAGATTTAAAATAAATCTTTTTTGTCCATTGGACTTATCAGCAAGAAAATAAGTGGATAAAAATTGACCTTCGAATGGTGAACACATTGACAACGCCCCTTTTTTAATTAATTTTTGGATCGCCACGTTATACTCGATTTCCTCTTGTGCCGGTATGTTAGGCTCCTTGGGAGCTTCGGCTTGCCAAGGTTTAGATTTGAAGGGAATTTCGTATGCAGTAACGTATTGGAGAATCAAGGGATCAGTTGTCAATTTTTCCCAGTTATGGGCAAACAGTCTTAGTCTCCCTGCAATAATATTTTCACTTACTTGTTCTAACGACGAGGTTTCTCGTAAAGGCGATTCCGCTGTTCCTTCTGATGTCCTCCCTGGCGAGTTTCCTTGAAGCTCCTTTTGGGGGGACCTCGGTAGTTTAAAGGACGAGGATATGCTTCCTTCGGGTATATTCTTTTCTTTTCGATTGGTGTTTTTGTTGACGGCTTTGCGATTTCCTTGCCGGATTTTTCGGCACTTTTCGCCGCACTCAGTTTTTCAGTGAATTTTTCTCCGTAGAGCAAAGTATCTACGTCACAATCTTCGGCGACGTTTTTAACGAGTTGATTTAATCCCGGCGTGATAAAAGATCGACGGGTTAACGAGATCCTGTGGTGTAAATCGGTTAAAATTCTCCCTGCGTCTGCTAATAAGACTATTAGCTGGGAAACATTTATTTCGGCTTGTGGTTTTGACAAAAGTTCTGACAAGCACGTTCCCAAGGCTATTACTCCAGCGCTTAGCTGGTTTTGGTTGAGGACCTGAAAGCTGTCCTTTTTTAGAGACAATTGTCCTATGACAGATTTTATTTCTGGGTTGAGTTTTGGAGATTGCAATATCTTGCAATTGATAGCAGTTGGGTACTTTTCAATAAGCTCTTTCCTTATATCTTTGGAAAGCCCTGCTTTTAATATATTTTCCCATACATCGACTAATTTTTTATTTAATTCTGGGCCGAATTTAATATTTTCGTTCACACTACCCAATAGGTTAAGTGCTTCGGCGTCAATGGTCGAGTTTTCGATTTCCGGCTGTTGTCGTAAATGTTCGGGAGAGTTCGTTCTTTCGCGTGAACGCTACCTACGCCGCTTTCGTGAGGCTTTTACTGGATCGGTCGAAGCGTTAGAGCTCGAGCCGCTTGATGATGAATCCGATGAAGATGATCTGGATGTGCTAGACGAGGATGAAGATGGGGATGAAGACGGAGAACGACGCCTGCGACGACTATGACGTGACGTGCCTCTCGGGTCACGCTCACCGTCAATTCTGTTGTCTTTTGGTTTTTTATACAATTCATTTTGGGTTCCCCTGTTGATCGAAATTGACCGTGATCGGTCCCGACTGTGACGTGACAGACCTCTCGGGTTCTGCTCGCCGTCAACGTTGTCGTTCGAACGCCTCGTGTTACTCGACCTTGAAGGTAATCTTTCGTTCCTCCTATTACGTAGATGTTGTAATTCTTCGAAAATTCTCTCTAATTTCTTGTCCCTCTTCCTCTTGCGAGACTTTTTGGACTTCTTAGACTTTTTCCTATCACGACCCATATCGAAACTTTATATTAATTTTCTGATTGCACTCGCGAGCGTGTGTAAAGGATCGCACAGAAAAGCGTAATGGCTGAATAAGTGAGAGACGCGGGATAGCTGAGAGAGGCCATCAGGTGGAGACACTCGGAATTTTAGCGCGAATATTTAAAAAACTGTGAATTGGATCTAGCAACTAGCGTTAATACAATTGATCTAGAGGACGAGATCACGTAGCATAATTAAATTTCTACTTAATTTGTTAATTGAATTTTTGTTTCTCTTTGGGAAATTAAGTAAAATTGAAAAATTGACAAGAAAATATTTTTAAATTTATTTATTTATTTATACTCACAACTGAAGCATAATCAGTAATGGAATTCCAATAATCGAATGGAAGAGAAAAAAAAGCATCAATAATCTGTAAATAATAAATTTAATAATTAAAAAAATAACCAATAGAGAACAATAATTATAAAAATAGAATAAATTGAAAATTTATCTACTTTTTTCTGATTATCTGCAGAGATATTAGTAAAAAAAAAAGCTTTTCTATAATATAAGTTTAGTCTCGATTGTAAAACGCTATTTTCATTTTTTAAAACTCGTTTTAAATGTATCATCAGCAATGCAAGAGTTTTTCGGTTTACAAGCGGAAGTTTGTCAATCAGTTCTTTTAATTTTTCGAAATCAACTGTTGATTTTACAGCTTGTGACAATTTTTTACTAAATTGAAAAGCAATCAAAGGTGACTTCAAATCACTAAAATAAATTTAAAAAGATTATTATGATAATAAAAAAAATTACGAAAAATTGAGAAATTTTGATTGACTTTTTTTTTACCTCAAAAATGTTTTGATAATTTTGGGAAATATCAGAGGGTCATATTGTGATAAATCGACATTGTTAGAAAGTATAATTTCTTTCAATAAATTATTCTCATTCACATTCCTGTTTCTGGTATAATAATAAGTGTTTTGTATATTATTTATTCCTCTGTTTTCCAGTTCCTGTATGGATCTTATAATTATTATAGGTATGGAAGATGAAGAGTCAAGTGAATACTGGTGAATGCGGAGCTAAATAAAATAAAGTTATTCAATATTTTTTAAATTATTATTTTTTTTTGTATGAATAATTGAAATTGAAGCGATTTTTCGTTTAGAATTTTTGTAAAATTAAATTACTGAAAATTTTTTTCTACAAATTACAGGCGATAAATAAATATTAAAAATTTTCAAATTAAAAAATATAGGTACTAGTTGTAAAAAAGATATTTTTTGTTAAAAATATTTAATAGTTTTTAACCTTGTCTGGTTGCATTTCATCTGAATTTTGCTGCATTGTCTCATCTTCTGACGTTAATACATGAATCTGTTTATTAGAATAAAGAGAGGAAAACTTTTATTAAAATGAGAAAAGTGATTTCTTAAAAAAATATTTTATTTTCTTTTTAATGGGATTAGTTTATAATTGAGCTGCCTGATCAAAGAATGTCACATAATCCATATGAATTACATTAGTTATGCTCCCTTCTTTAATCCGGCAGCTCTATAATGAACAAATAAAAAGTCAAGTTTCCAAAAAGTACTTATGATTTTCCGTAATTTCTTGAAATAAAATGATTTAGACTAAATTATACTTAATAAATAATAAGTCATACTCCACCCTCTTTCAAATAAGTTGTTATTTCATGTACATTAAAAATATTGAATATTTTTTACCACTTCATTTCGCATATCATCTTCAGTATTTATTGCCGAGTTTTCTTCTTGACGAATCTTGATCTGTTTATTTCAATATAAAAAAGAACAAATTTTTTAATTTAGAAAAAAAATTATTAAAATACATGTCAAAAAAATATATTCATTTTATTAACAAGATCATTCACAGATTACGTGATACAAATTTTAGGTAATTTACACCCCCCCCTCCCCCTGCGTGATACTTTTTAGATAGTTTGCACATTAAGTTACAATGGAGAGTTAGTGGCCATTAATTAATTACGTAAGGATCCTTTGGGGGAGGGGGGGTTTTTAAAATCTCTACATGGTCTTACGTCGGGGGGGGGGGGGGTAGAAGCCATTCTTACGTAAGATTTTGCCAATTTTGTGTCTCTTTTTGGGAAATAAGTAAAGTTGAAAAATCGATAAGAAAATTATTATGAAAATTTATTTTTTTACACTCACAATTGAAGTATAATTAGTAATTAAATTCCAATATTTGAATGGAAAAGAAAAAAAGGCATCAAGAATCTGCAAATAATAAATTTAATAAAATTAACAAAATAACCAAAATTTTTCGCACAGAATAATTATGAAAATAGAAAAAATTGAAAATTCATTTACATTTCCCGCAATATTTGGAGACGCATAACAATAAAAAAAAAGATGTTTAAAAATTATGTTTAATTGCATTTGTGAAACGTGATTCTGTTTTAAGACTCGTTTTAAATGTGTCATCAGTAATGCAAGAGTTCTTCGATTTACAAGCGGAAGTTTGTTAATCAGTTCTTTTAATTTTTCGAAATCAACTGTTGATTCTACAGCTTGTGAAAATTCATTAATCAGTTCAGGAACAATCAAAGGTGACTTTAAAAATCTAAAATAAATTTAATAAGATTATTATGATAATAAAAATAAGTACGAAAAACATGAGGTAATCTTGATTGATTTTTTTTACCTCAAAAAGAATTTGAGAGTTTCGGCAATTATCAGAGGATTTTGTTGCGATAGATCGACGTGATTGTTAGTTAATTCTGTGAATAATTTTTTACCATTCTCTTCGTAGCTAATTTCAAAGTATAATAATGGTTCATTCATTCCTCTGTTTTCCACTTCCTGTATGCATCTTTTAACTATTAAAGGTATGCTAAATGAAGAGTCAAGTGCATAATTTGAAATGAAGCGCTAAATAAAATAAACTTTATTAATACCTGAATTTGTTATTATTTTGAAAAAATGAGGAAATTTTAATTGAAATGAAATAAATAATTAATAAAAAGTTGAGAAAAATTCGAGGAAAAATTCGATCCTTGGAAGGAATAAAATAACATAAAAATTGTATGTTAAATGAAATAAATAAATGAAATAAATAATTTTTTGAAAAATGTTTTCCTTCATATTTTTTATAGTGGGATTATCTCATAAATAAACAAAAAAATTATAGCTAAGAAGATATTAAGATAGCAAAACGTACATATTTTAAAAAATATATTTTCTGTTAAAAAATATTTAATAATTTTTTACCATTTCTGGTTGCATTTCATCTGAATTTTGCTGCATTGACACATCTTCTGACGATAATTCATTATTCTGTTAATTATAATAAAAAGACATTTTAAAAAGAGAGCACTAAAATAATACCGATTTAAGGTATTATAATAATAGAACCAAATGACAATTTAGAATCTAAAGTTGTTATTAAATTAATACCTTTCGTTTTACATTGGAGAAAAATTTTTCATTAAAATCAGAAAACCGATTTCTTAAAAAATTATTTTCTTCTCATTCAGTTTAATTGTACTGCCGGATTAAAGAAAAGCACATAACCCATTTGAATTACATTAGTTGTGTGCACTTCTTTGATCCGGCAGCTCAATTATAAACAAAAAAAGTTGTTGCCAAAAAGTCAAGTTTGAAAAAAGGTCTTCTGATTTTCAATGATTTCTTTAAATAAAATATTTTAGACTCAAAAATACTTAATTTTAATTAGTCACATTAAATAATTGATTTGAATTTACTTGAAATTGTTTTTAATCTAAAATTTTAAAGCAGTAAACTTATTCACAATTACAAAAAAAAATTTATACTATTAACGTGGTAGAGATTTCATACTATCTTTATTATTTGCATAATAATAATAATATTACTATACATACATTTTATACATAACACCGTCCGACAAAATTCAACTTTTTTTTCACACACGAAAAAATCAATGATTTTCAGAAACTAGGACCAAAAAAAAGATACCCGTGTCTGGCCGTTTTGCTAGATCAGGTCATTTTTTGCTTTTAGGGGTAAAAACAACCCTTAAATGAAAGGTGATAGGAAATCATGTACAAATTAATATTTTTTTATGTAACCTGGTATCTCGGGGTTTTCCGGGTCGCTGATTACGAATCTGATGTCAGATTTTCAAAATTCAAAATGGCGGATCCAATATGGCGGTCGAATCTTTAAATCGTAAAAATAAGCGTCTAAAATTTAGACAAACGTAATACAAGAGTTGTTATGAAATGTTTCTATTAATTTTATTTAATTGCATTATATTTGTTTAATAAATTTTGATTATAACCTTTTGAATTTATTAATTCTAATAGAAACTTAGTTAATAAATATACGAATTTTCAGATTAAAAATCACTTAAAATAAAAATTTTAAAATGTTGGCTTGCAAATTTTAACAAAAAATTGATCGAACATTTAAATTTTCCAAATTATTTTTCAGATTTGTGATCTTCTCCTTTATTAGATTTGGCGTTTTTATTATTCTTATCTGACATCACTTTCGTACTTAGAGACGCCGAAAGCCCTTAGATACCAAGTTTTATAAAAAAATTAACAATTTTTATAAATTTCAACCGTCATATTGAGTCTGCCATATTGAATTTTAAAAATCAACAATCAGATTCGTACTCAGCGACCCCAAAAACCCAGAAATACGAAGTTTTATAAAAAACTAATAACATTTATAAATTTCGACCACCATATTGAATTCGCCATTTTGAATTTTGAAAACCCGACATAAAATTTGTAATCAGCAACCCCAAAAACCTTCAAGTAACAAGTTTCAAGTGAATTCGCGATGAACTTTTATAAATTTCGACCGCCATATTGGATCCGCCATTTTGAATTTTGAAAATCTGACATCAGATTCGTAATCAGCGACCCGGAAAACCCCGAGATACCAGGTTACATAAAAAATTATTAATTTGTACATGATTTCCTATCACCTTTCATTTAAGGGTTGTTTTTACCCCTAATAAAAGCAAAAAATGACCTGATCTAGCAAAACGGCCAAACACGGGTATCTTTTTTTTGGTCCTAGTTTCTTAAAATCATTGATTTTTTCGTGTGTGAAAAATCGTGTCGCACGGTGTATATTGTCTTAAGAAAATAAACTTTTATTTTTTTCCTAAACATTTTTATTTACTGATTTTAATATTTTACGCATAAAAAAAATAATACAATACTAACTGTTAGGATATGAAAATAAAAATATATTTTTTTTAACAAAAATTTTAAAGCAGTAAAAACCGTATAAAATGAAATTTTATTAAATTGTTTTGAATTTAATTAATTTCTAATTATTTTTGTAAAAGAAGTCGAAAAAATTGGAAAAGTTATACAATCCGAGGCCTGTTATATAAGAATAATAATATTCACAAATTAGAAGTAAATGTTAAATAAATCTTACCGTTTTGCTATTTATATTAGTAGGACTGCAGTTTACTACGACAAGAATGCAAAAAGGAAGGAGCACCAAAAATTTTAAAAAACACATTTTTATTCAAAAGTTGAAGTCTTCAAAATCACAATAATATTTTAAATGATTGTAATTTTCAAAGAGAAAGAATAAAACTATTTTTTACTTGGAATTGTTTTTAAGCTAAAATTTTAAAACAGTAAAATTATTCACAATTACAAAAAAAATTTTTATACTTTTAACGTGGTAGAGATTTCATACTATCTTTATTATTTACATAATAATAATAATATTACTATACATACATATTATACATAATAATATCTTATTATTATTTTACATTTTTTCATGTATGAAATTTCATATTGGCTTAAAAAAATAAACTTTTATTTTTTTTAATAAACTTTTTTTTACTGATTTTAATATTTTACGCATAAAAAAAATAATACAATAAATAAATTAAATTCTATGCATCGAAATGAATCAATGAACATAAAAATTTGTAAAAATTATTCATGAAAAATAATAAAAATTATAAAAATAGATTTTTCAAAGGATTACATTGTAATAAATTAAATTTGTATTAATTACTATTTTAATTAAAAAAAGAGAGCACATCACAATATATCACTTACATAGTATATATATATATATAAATTAATTGATAATAATAATTGAGTTTCCTTCAATTATACGTTATATTATATTACATCGTATTTCATCAAAAAAAAAAAATCTTATACAATTATTTATCGTCGAAAATTATACTCGAATTAAAATATATGATGCAAAACACAATTTTGCAAAAAAAAAAAATATATATATAAATTTTTACAAGAAATATATTAATTTCATAATAAAAAAGATTTTTGAGTGATAAGTTCTGATTGTCACAAATAAATTAATAATAATTAAATAGACAAATTATTTATAAACATCGTAATTGGCATTGAACCTATTTACTATGAGTTTCTTGAAAATAAAAATTAAATACAAAAATTATCTCTAGGGCCATATAATTATCAAAAGTGTAGATGAAAAATATTCTAAATTCACAATTTCAGTAAACACAGTTAATAGTAATAATAATAATTTTATTAATAATAATAAACCACACGATTAAATAAGTTAGAATTCGCTTCAATTATCAAGAAAAGTCAATTTACAATTTTTTTTAATAAAATTTTTTTCTCAACCCTATAATAAAAGAATTCGTGCAATATTTCTAAAATCCCTCGCACTAAAATTCTCAAATATTTTATCAATAAACTAATAACTAGGATTATTATATAAAGTACTTTATTGTAAGTCAAGGTTTCACGGTAGCTCGTCGCAGACTAATCATATTCGGCGAAACACGTCGTGTAAATTCGTAAACGGTGAATCATACATCATTAGACTATTACTATTATATACATTTCTTACATTCTTAAATAAATAAAAACCATTTTCAATAGGTTTTAAAATCAACTTACGTGATAAATTTAAAAAAAAATTGAGTTTTAAATATATAAAAATAGTGTTTTATGAGGAACCAGAATTTATTTAATGTATATTTATATGCGTATAGATAATAGATGTTTTAGATTTGAGTTCATATAAATTTATTAACAATGAAGTTATTTTCTTGCTTCGTTTTTATATTTATGCATTAAGAGTGTCGAACGGTATCTGAAATTCTTTGGCAAGAAGAGAGTTTTAATTATCGCTCTCAACGTGAAATAGTATTCATTTTAAAATACTTTTTTCTCGAAACACGAACACTTTTAACAAAATCAGCCAAAATCCTCATCTTATAAATTTCCTAAATCCAAAAGACGGTACGAATCCATAGAAAAACATGGTAGCAAAACAAAAAGTAGAAAAGTAATCTAATAACAGCTGCAACTTTGTGCGCCTTGCATGCTGCTGCCATCTGACGGCGGCAGGAGGTAATGAACCTGTCATTATATTACTTTTCGTTTTGCAATCGTGTTTTTGTATGGATTCGCATAATCTTTCGGATTTAGGAAATTTATATAAGACAAGAATCTCTAGCTGCTTTTGTAAAAAAGTGTCCGTCTTTCAAGAAGAAAGTATTTTAAAATTAATGTTTATCATTTTCACGTTTAGTGTAGTTTTTATAGGGCGATAATTAAAGGTCTCTTCTTTTCAAAGAATTTCAGAGACCATTCGACTCTCTTAAATAAATTTTGTCCCTCTTAAAATAGTTCTTTTAACATTGTAATTTAATTTTTTAAAATCGGATACAAACACTACAGCAATATAATTATTTATATGTAAAATTAAAAATAAGTAATTATTTTATCATTTATTACAGTATTTATTGGATTAAATAAATTTTGATTCCCCATAAAATTACTGTTTTTTATATAAAAACTAATTTTTTTTAAATCGGGCACGTAAACTGATTTTAAAAATTATTGAGAAATGTTTTTTATTCATCTATGAATCATAATCAAAAAGAATTTTTAAGTGCCAATTCATTTTTATTTAAATCACCTTCTGGCGCACCGTGAGAGCAAAACGGCGCCTTAATAGCAAAAATTAAATTTCTACTGTAGTTTTACGGGAAAATAGAGCAAAAACGTTGCAGTTTTAGTTTATTTTCCACTTTATTTTGACGAAAAAATAAAGCAAAAAATTGGCGTAATTTTATTTTTTGATCTACTTTTTCCGTAACAAAATGACAGAAATTAGATTAGCGCAGTTTTAACCGAACACATGTATGTATGTGTGTATGTGTGTGGATCCCTTTTTTGTTTAGAAGATAACATTAACAGGTTTTATTGGATTTAGATAAAATTTTGTAGGCTCATTTATCATATTAATATCTCCCATCTGACCAAAGGATTTTAAAAAATACAAAAAAAAAATTTTTATCGTCTTTTTTCCAAAAATTTTTTTTTAATCGAAAAAATTTTGAAATAGAAAAATTTAAGGTTATATAATTATAATAAAATCGTATTCCTTACGTCAAGACAAATCGATCAGTATATATAAAGTATAGTTTTAACATAAATTTAAAGAATTAATAATAAGTTAAAAAATCAAAAATTCACATTTTGGCTATAAAATTTTGTGATTATTTAAATTTAAGTTTATAGATGAAATAATTGTATTCCTTACATGAAAACGAATCTATTGGTATATATAAAATTTACATTTGAGGTAAATTTAATAAATTAATGAAAGTTAAAAAATAGAAAATACACATTTTAGCTGAAAAATTTTATATTTATTTAAATTCAAGTTTAAATATAAAATAATTGTGTTCTTTGCATTAAAACGAATCGATATAATTGTAAATAATTATAATATATATATTATTTTTCATTAATATTTAGAAATTTCGGTTAAAATAGGAATTTTTGTTTTTTTAACTTCCATTAATTCTTTAAATTTAACTCAAATATATAGGTACTCAAATGTTTATATTTTTATATTATTTTTGTATGTTTATTTCAATATTAATGCTTTCTCCAAGAGGAAGCAAATTTTTTTGCTGATCGTACAGAGGAAGCAAAATGTTCATATAATGAACATCTGAATTTACAACTAGTTGAACAATGAAATTGAAATGAAAAATTCAGAATATTGCGTATTTAAGTAAATACTATTTCCAATTTCGTATCTTAATAAAACCTCCTGTTGTGAAAGGTTGATGAAGTTTTATATTTTTTTGCACCTATACATGTTGTAAGGTCGATCACAATCAAAAAATCTTTAAGGGTTAAAGTCACCCTGGCGGATTCGATTTGCGTAATGTCTACTTAACTAAGTGGACTTTAGGTAGACATTAGGTAAACATGTAAAAAAACGTATAAAAAAGCTATTAATCAACTTATTATGATAAAAAAAGTTGATAAAAGGGTAAATGAATGTTTATAGAATAAATTCGTACAAAATTTTGTAATTAATAAAGCATTAAATAATTAATAATGAATGGAAATGTGCGCGAGGTACCTGATCAGTTCAGCTGTACAATTATTTTCGTGCTATTTTCATGAAAAGAATATAAATTAACGGCAAAAACAATTGATATTTATAAAAAAGTGTAAAATTGATTTAATTTGAGTGTTTGCAATACGAATTATTAAATAATAATTAAGTTTTTATCAAATGTGAATAGTGTTGTGAAAACCTGTGAAAACTAATGAGTTACTACATTACCGATCGCATATGATAATAAAAAGTTCTCGATGAGTGTAACAAAAAAGCTGCAATTTAACCAAGTACATAATTTCCGGGAATGCCAGAGATGGCGCCACCAGTTTTTACAATACAGTGCGAGCATGTTTTCTTCCAAGCTTTTGCTTTGAAAGAAAATAAAAAGTGAATTTTAAAATGCAGAATAAAGTTATACAAATAATTATTGATTTCATAATTGTTTCTCGTCCAAAATTACGGACATGATTGCAGCTTTTTTGTTACACTCATCGAGAACTTTTTATTATCATATGCGATCGGTAATGTAGTAACTCATTAGTTTTCACAGGTTTTCACAACACTATTAACATTTGATAAAAACTTAATTATTATTTAATAATTCGTATTGCAAACACTCAAATTAAATCAATTTTACACTTTTTTATAAATATCAATTGTTTTTGCCGTTAATTTATATTCTTTTCATGAAAATAGCACGAAAATAATTGTACAGCTGAACTGATCAGGTACCTCGCGCACATTTCCATTCATTATTAATTATTTAATGCTTTATTAATTACAAATTTTGTACGAATTTACTCTATAAACATTCATTTACCCTTTTATCAACTTTTTTTTATCATAATAAGTCGATTAATAGCTTTTCTATACGTTTTTTTACATGTTTACCTAATGTCTACCTAAAGTCCACTTAGTTAAGTAGACATTACGCAAATCGAATCCGCCAGGGATGTTAAGAGAAAGAAATAAATACCAAAAGGTTTAAGTTAGGATTCAATTAGGTTTATGAGGTAGAAAGAATGTTAAAAATTTCAGCTTGGGATTTTTCAAACCACAAGGCAAAATCTTTTGACAAAAGGTTTTCATCATTGTTATTTTCTGCTTCATTTGTAATTGTACACTTTCCATTGATGCATGTTTCATCAGTTGAACACTTTACATTACCGCAATCCTGAAATACACAGAAATAAGTGTTACGATTAAAACTCGCAACAGTTTTTTTTCCCTCTGCTCTTTTTTAAATATTATTTCTAAATTAACTGAATAATATAATTTACATTTACGACACAAATAACAAAAATATCCTTAATGAAAATCCCGATGTAAAACAATAAAAACTAAATTATTAAATCTTATTACCGTTGATGTTGAAGAATCACTCGTAATTGGTGCCTTTGTATTCGAATTTAAATTCTCTTCATATTCTGCTGGATTATTCCGAATGCATTTCGTAAAATCTTTACTGAAGAAGAAGAAGATAATTTATTAAATATACAATATATAGGTAAGGTTCAAAAAAATATTTAAAAAACTAATGGTGATAAAAATCTCAGGAAGTTCAAAAATATGCAATTACTTTTTCGGGACGAATAAATATTTCCTTCATTAGATTTGCCAGTATTTTTGTGGTGTCGAATTAAGAATGAGAATCAGAATTTTGTTATAAATAGAAAATAATTCCGGCAAATCTAATAAAGAGAATATTCTCAGAATTCTAAGAATTAAACAATTAATATTTATGGTAACTGAAATTTTATGAACTCCAGATATTAATATACTTAAATGGTCTTCACTGTATACAAGTGTAAATGTTATAAATTTTACACGTACCTTAAAGTTGATCGAATACTATCTTTCGAACATCGGGACAACAACCTTATGTTTTTACGAGCATGAATCGAATTCATAAGATAGCCGTCTTCATTCAAACAATCCGTTACATCATTAAAATCATGATCTGTACCCAAGCTAATGAGAAAAGTATACATTAATTATTCTTTTAGCCAATCATTAAAATTAATTAATAATAAATATTTAATCCTGTTTATCAGTAAAATAACAGAAAACATAGTTTGCGATTCTTACACATGAGCTAATTCGTGAGCGGCAGTACGAATCCCTGCATAACCAATATCGGCACTCCAATTTTCCATTACACCGGAACTATAGTTTATCTGATTATCATTATTATTATTACACACTGTACCAAGATAGGCCAAACCTTTAACAAAGCATTGTTGTAGTTTAGATTTTAATTTACACATTATGCAAAATTAAAATATGTGATATAAACTTACCACATACATCTACAGGATTTCTTCTAAACATCAACAAACCTATATCATAATCTTCCATTGGTCGAAAGAATTGTTCCTTATTTAAATGTGTAGCAAATGCGTTTAAACATTTGTAGACATTTATTCTTCCTTCGGGCAAATTGTTGGTTGCTTTTTTAATGAATGGTAGTGGTTCCTTTAATATAAAAATGATTTCAATTAATTGTAGAAAAATTTTTCTGTTCAGTACTGAATCAAATATTTTCTATTTCAAGCAATTAAATTGTATTGAAATTCAAATGATGTCGGTATTTAAAACAAACACCATTTAATTGAGAGAAATATTAATTATATTTTATGAAAATAAATATTCTTAATATTCAAGAAGGGAAGAGAGGTGCTAATTGAGCGTATGGGTAAGATGGGCAATCAAAATATCTCAGAAACTATAAATTTGCCACTAAATATCAAATTGTGGGAAGAAGCAGGTGCGGGAGGGCAATTTACCGTTTGATTGCCAATATTAATAAATGGCCCCTTATTGTTATAAATAAAAAATTGACAAAAAATAGCCATGGTTTGGCTAGAATACCTCAACGATGATAAACGTTAAGCACGTTTGACTTACTTTATTTGAGGGACTCTGTAGCTCTTAAAAGTGATTTATTAACCAGTAAAAAAAAGAATTGGGAGTAAGCGAAAAGAATTGGTGGTAACTTAAGCTGAATTCGGTTTGGCGAAAGAACCGAATTGCAACGTTACGGTGAATTATTTTTTTCTTATCATGAATTCTTTTCTCTTGAACATTTGAGTTGACGTTTGTTTATTCGAGTTTACATTTATTATATAAACACTACTAACTTGATAAAATTCTCGGTGAATCTGTCACACTTCGCTTTTATTTATTTTTAAAAAATTATAGGTTTTTTATTCCAAATCGGCTTTTTTACACTTCGAAACATTTATTCTATTCATTTATAATGCAAACTCCAATAAACAAACGTCAATTTAAATGTTCAAGAGAAAAAAATTCATGGTAAGAAAAAAATAATTCACCGTAATGTTCCAATTCGGTTCTTTCGCAAAACCGAATTCTGATTAAATTACCACCAATTATTTTCTCTTACTCCCAATTCCTTTTCTTTACTGGGTAGAAGTAAATTACTATAAAGATTTTTTAAAAGGAATGGATTACGTATCCATCAGTATACATAGCAAGCAATTTGAACTATTCGTTGAGGACCTATAACCGGACAAGTGAAAAAATGCATAACAAGCCCCCTCCTTACTCTAATTGATTTAAATAAATTTTAATTTTTCAATGTATTCAACATACTTTAAGAAATACTATTTTTCTCATGTAGATGTGAATTTTTGGATTTTCCATTTGTTTGTATATTGAATCAACTTCATTCCAGAAACTCAAAATATATTGTAACGCTTTTACCACGTCATGATTGTATTTTCTGTAATTAAAAATTAAAATTATTAATAATTGTCTTGAATTGAAGTGAAATAAAGTAATTTATATTTAATAAAATAGCAATTTTTATAAGCAGGAACAAAGTAAATAGAATAAATTTATTGTAACCTTACTTAAAAATTATATCATCAACGTAAAGCATAATTTCCGGATACACAATGTCTGGAGTCACTTTAACTTCTCGTCGAGATACACTTTTAATTTTTATAATTTCATCATCGACCAGCTTATGTGCAGGAAGTTCTAAACAAATTAGACGTAAAATATGAATAATAATAAATATAATTATTATTGAATATTAGATTTTTAGTTCAATTCTTTTTATATACTTTTAATCAAGAAGAGAATTATTAATACTGTTATGTTACATAATTCTTTACAATATTACTTTCTCTTGAATTTACGGTAAAAGTTATAATTTATATGAGCTTTTTATACAGTATTGTTACCTTAATTAATTTTAATTTTTCAATAAAGTTTATAGTTTCGGATAAGAATAGCCCTGCTATGGTATAATGTTTAAAAGTAAAGATTTTAGTTTTACATTACTTGTATTAGGATTGATTATTATTATTTACTATTACTTTAATACTTTTACACTGTAAAAAGAAGGTACTAAAATAATACCGATTTTAGGTACTAAAATAGAACCAAAAGTCAATTTAGTACCTAAAGATGGTATTAAATTAATAACTTTCGTTTTATAGTGCATTTAAAGACACCCAATTTTAGTTTATTTTTCAACTAGCAACTTTGTCGTCCGCAAGCGGCCGACTACGTTGCTAGTGTGCATTAACCATATTTTTTATTTATTTTTTTCAAAAAAATTTAATATTAGAAATGTAAAAAAAATTCTTTATATTGGATCTACCACCCAAGTAGCACGGTATATTGCTTGAATGTCAAGCTGATATCAACCGGGAATATTTTTGTGACATTTAGGCGATATCATAATGTCCTCTTCACGGGGACATTCCTCCGTGATGTATCTATGGGACAGCCTTTCACACAAAAAATGTAACGCGTTACAAAACTTACATTCTACATTTATTAAACCTAAATAATTCTGTGGAACTTTACTTTCATCTAAATCTTCAAAAGACATTATTGCAACTCCTGCACTTTTTTTATTCCAATTATCGTTTTTACATGTCAAATTCTTTTCTTCACACATTCCTTTGATCTTTCTTCATCTTACATGACAAATTATTTTCTTGATGCACTTTCTTTTCATCTTGAGTTTCCATTGATATTTTTCTTTTCCTACATGCCAAATTTTTATCCTTGTGTATTTTCTTTCCATCTACAATTTTTATAGATAATTTCTTTTTTTGCATGTCAAATTTTTTTTGCGCTCTTTCTATTTTATTTCTGATTTATTACGATTAAGTTTTCTCAATCTCTCATTCTCCTGTCTTATTATTTTCTGCTCATATGTAACTTCGCGCCTTGCCTTCCTTTTTCTTCCCTTCTCTTTAATTGCTCGATTTATCTTTTTATCATTTTCTTTACTCAGAAAATTTTTCATTTTTAAATATTCATGTGGTGAAATTTTGTTCACCTTATTATCAGTTGTACCAATTATTTTCTTTTCACTAGTGCCATTTAGAGAATGTTTAATTTTTAAATCTTGTGTTAATAGAACTCTGTTAATATTATTACTGGGAATATAATTACTAAAAATATAATTTTTATGTTCCTGTGTTCAATTTATGAAAAGATGGTTCTAATCATTCTCTATTATCGAATTCCTATTGTGAGACGTTCTTACTGTCGGAAAATGATTTAAGCGATTATTTTCTAAGATTGACTTAAAATTGTTTCTCATTTTGTTATTATCAGTTTCATAATTTACACGGTTTGGCATTACGTTAAATAATATAGATGTTGCAAATGCTATTGCATATACTCCACACTCAGCACTACCAAAAGGTTGTTGATCAACAGCTTCAAAAACTATAAAGTATTTGAATATGTTTATCACCGTCTCTAATTGGGACAATAAAATCAAGCATTTGTACATACAAAAGAATCTTTTCTTAATAAATCTTCAAATTTGTACACATGCATGTAATTTAACAATTTATTTCTATTTTCAATAATTTTTAAATCTTTATCACTTAAAATAATATACTCTTTTATGTTGGCCATAGTATACTTCGTTTAATTTTATTTTTGATTCATGAAAATCTAAATATCTTTAACCCTTTTGCTCACTCCCTGTAATATAACCAATTTTGCCTTTTATTAAATATAACCAATTTTTCCTTTAATTCAATACAACTAATTTTACCTTTTACTAAATATAACCAATTATTCCTTTAATTCTATATAACCAATTTTTACTTTAATCCAATATAACCAATTTTGCCTTTTATCCAATAAAACTACCATATATCCAAAAGAATGAGAGAACTATGAGTAACTATGAATCAGTAACTACTGATCAGCCAATAAGTGGAAAAAGGACACTCTTATATGAGTAATCAGTAGTTCATTATAAATAACATATATACGTATTCCTACCTGTATTAAAACCCCGGAAAAAATACCACAAAAAAACCAGCCATTCGACAATAGAACCTTTGTTAATGAGGATTAACTCTGAGGACCCAGCTAATAATTTCTTTTTTCACATTTATTATATAGAAAAATAAAGATGTACCAACCCTTGGCCAATAGAACCTTTGATAATGAAGATTAACTCTGAGTACATAATGAAATGTACTGTAGGTTTACATTGACATCGGCACGTCTGACGTCTCGAAATTTTTTCCGTGTATTATCACATGGAAATATAAAGATAAAAGGCAAAAACTGAAGAGGTAATGTATATCTTTCTTTCTCACATCAGGGAATATAACATATAAACATTTTCATTTAATATTGCATTTCTCTATCTAGAGGATTCAAAATAACATAAGAATATCTTCGCCTAAAAATCTTACTCTTCTTTTTTTCTATTTTCAAAATAAAAAAAAATATGTATATGTACCAGTATTAGACCCTCAGAACAATTACCACAAACATTACCAATCCTTGGATAATAGAGCCTTTGTTAATGAAGATTAATTCTGAGGGGCCAGGTAATAATTTTTAAATTTTTTTATTAAAATTTTCTGGGGCTCTAATACAGGTAGGGAAGAGTGATAAACAGTGCCACAGTTTTAACAGTAGGACACTTTAATTTTCTGAAAAACTACTTACAATTAAAGAAACTCGACCAAAATTTAAATGTAAAGCATGTTTATGACATCACACTATCTCCAAAAATTTTAGCCACATTGATTCATTATTTACCAAGAAAATTGAAAAAAACTGTTTTTGATGTTACGGAGTAAATTTTTTCTTGAAATACAATGCTGATTTTTATATAAATAGGACAGTTTTAAAAAAAGTGTAATTGTTACTTCGTTTACTGATGTTTTTAAGTATAATATCCAATAATTTAAAATATTTTAAAATGTTACAATCAATTTTTATTTAAATAATTTCTTGCGATTGCTTAATTTAAACAGTGTCCAAAAATATATAAAATTAACATATTAATATGTCTTTGAAAAAAAGTGTCCCACTGTTTGTCACTCTCCCCTATATACATATATACAGATATATGAATATTTATTTTTATTCTTAAAACAAAAAGGAAGAAGATTAAGATTTTAGACGAAGATGTTCTTATGCCATTTTCAATCGTCTAGATAGAGAAACGCAATGTTAAACGAAGAAGTACTTATGTTATATTCCTTGGTGTAAGAAAGAAAGGTATGCGTTACCTATTCAGTTTTAGACTTTCTTTATAGTTTTTTCACGTGATAAAGGGAGAAAGAAATTATTACCTGGGTCCTCAGAGTTATTAATTAATCCTCTTTAAATGATTGCAGGTCAAGCGAACCCTCATTTGCAAAATAAAGATATATCTTTCTCTCTCCATAACTTGTTCTTTTCTCTGTCACCGAAAACCCAGCAGGGGTCCGGACGGAATGAATGAATGAATGAATACCAAGATTATTATAGTTAATAATAATATGTAAAGAAAATACTTACTGGAAGCATTATTAAATTTTTGTTTATAAATTATATGTTCATTAGCATTTATGAAACCTTCGGCATCACTCTCAAAGATTGAAGAATTTGTTTCCGACAAATCACGACGTTTACGAAGATGATTGGGCAATGGTTCAATCACATAATTATTGTCGATAATTCCATGCTGTTAAAAATTAAAATTTTATTTAGAATTTAAAAAATAGAAATCATTTAATATGAAAAAATTTATCGCACAATATAAAATAAATAAGTATATATACTTACAAATTCAGATATTCCACGTTTCTTCCTAAACTGTGTAACAGATGAACCAGTTTCTTCACCTTGATAAAATTTATGGTCGATTTTTTGCAAAACCTATAATCATAATAAATTTATACATTTTTTAAAGAAAATTCTTGTTGTTTTAAATATATATATATATATATATATAGTTTTTAAATTGCCTTAACCGTCAATATAGAAAAAACGAAACTCAAAATTGTAAAATATCTTTTTGCCGCATATTTAAGAATATTTTGCATGTATTTTATTTTTAAAGTTCTTAAAATCAGAAAGACTTCTTAAATTTGGAACTGTTTCTTACTTGGGTACTATTAATCTACCTCTACTTCTTAATTCAAGAATTATTTTTGAATTTAAGAAGATTATCCGATTTTAAGAGTACTTTTTATTCTTACATTAGGAATAAAATGCTTGGGAAACATTTTTAAATGTACGCCAAGAAGATATTCCTAAATTTAGAATTACGCATTTTTCTGTGAACTTGGGTAATTATACCCAAATTATGAGAAATCTTCAGATGTAAGTTTTTTCACAAGGAACTTCACATAATAGTTCAAAAAATTTGTTTTTTTAATTCTGAATTTTAATGGCGTTTTCAGTGAAGAAAAGCAATTTTGTGGATATAATTACCTCGGTTGACGGTACACAAGAAATATTAATATTTTTGAATTGCTTTTTTTTAAATTAGTACTTCTTTGCATTTAAGAATTTATAACATTTGAAATAGAGAATTTAACGTATATCTTTGTACTGTTAATACATACATTTTGTATTTCTTCATAATCAACGGAACTATGCTCAACATTATTAGTGGCAGTATAAACTTTTGATTCTCTTCCTAAAAATAAACTATCTTTTGGATTTAAATGATAATCATTGGTTTTCCCATCTCTTTTAATTCGAATTGTTAATTTGTCGTCGGATATTTTATGACTAATTGGCACCACCTCATAGTCAGGTACTAGAAAAGAGAATTTTAATTTTGAATTTAATCTAATACACTAAAAAAATGGTCTCAAAATTATATAGCTATAGGCAGTTATATGTATTTATAAATTTAATAATTTTTCCAATTAATTTCTATTTACGCTTATTTTTTACTGAGTGCTTCAGTGCAAATTTTTTATTGTATTGAAAAATTAAAATTTATTATTCAATCTAATATAATTACCATCGTTTAAAAATCTATCGTCGATGTAGAACGATTGAGTAAAGGGCACAAAAAGAGTGCAAAATAAAATTGCCAAGTAATACATCTGTAAATATAAAATTTAAAAACACTGTAAAAAGAAGGTACTAAAATAATACCGATTTTAGGTATCAAAATAGAACTAAATGACAATTTAGTACCTTAAGTAGGTATTAAATTAATACCTTTCGTTTTACAGTGAAATTAATTAAATGCAATATTGAGAAAAAAATATTCACACAGCATCAGATATTTTAGAATCTCCTAATTGGTTATATCTGTTATGGAAATTAAAATTCTATTCGTTTCCCAAGGATATCATGTTGCTAGTACATAGGGTTTTAATGTGCAGTTTATAAAAATTTTTCAAAAAGAATTTATTTCTAAGATTTTTTAAGGGATGTTAATATTAGATGTTTTAAAAAATACTATTATTTATCAAATAATAATGATAATAATAATGATTTTTAAAAAATGATAAATAATTTGTCAAAATTAAAGAAAATAATTAAAACATTTCTTACCCTACTCCAAAAGTAGTGTAGAGATTAACTGATGAAAATTTTGGATGTAATTACATTTTAGATGGTGTCTGTATATATATTCAAAAAATCACTGATATTCTCCCTTGTTGATAAAAAATTATGATTACGTAAATTCAATTCACTTGAATCAATATTGATATTTCAGTAGTTTTAATTTAACTTTGAAATAGAGTGAAACTATTCCTTTGTAAAGCATTTGTATTACGTACATAAAAGTAAAGATTATCGTTTATACATGCTATTGACAGTAAGATGTACGTAATAAAAAATATAGTAAATTATTAAATATTCATATCTTTATTAACGTATTGGAATACTACAATAGATTTTCACACGTCAATATTATATATTATACAAAAATATATTTACATTATTTGTGAGTGCTTCTGTAACTGACGTTGGTATACTTCAATGTTTTATTTAATATTTAATATTAATATTTAATACATTGGCCAAATTGATCAGTTAGAAATTCTAGCCAAACTAAGTCTATTTTTTGTCAATTTTTTATTTATAATTTTTTAGTGTCAGACGATGAACTATAAAGCATATGTAACAAAACTTTTATTATATAAAATTTTTTTTTATATAATAGAATTGTCGTTTAATAGAATTGTCATTTAACAGAAATTCTTCTTAGCTAAATTTTTAAGGCAAAGAATTTTTATTTCACCGATATTTTATTTGACCGAAGTTTCACTTAACCGAATTTTCATTAGATAGAATTGTTAAAACGTCGAATTTCCATTTGAATGAACTTTTATATATCAGATCATCCACTCGGTAGAAACAATTCAGCGGGAATTTAAAAATCAACCAATCAAAAATTATTAAGAAAATTGTGATTGGTTGATTTTATAATTCCGCTGAAATGTTTTTGCCAAGTGGATGATCTGATATATAAAAATTCGATCAAATGGAAATTCGACGTTTTAACAATTCTATCTAATGAAAATTCAGATAAGTAAAACTTCGGTCAAATTAAAGTATCGGTAAAATAGAAAATCTCTGTCTTAACAATTTAGTTAATAAGAATTTCTGTTAAATAACAATTTTACTAAATAAAAATTAGATTGTTTAGAAATTTTTTGAATAATAAACCCTTTCTTTATTATTCCTCCAAATGCCAACTCGAAATACTTTATCTTTTAAAGATAAGAAGAAATCTACGAAACCCCTTTTTGCCAATGTTTAAACATTTTTTAAATTTGTGCTCATTATAAAATCTACTTTTTTTAAATTATACTAAATGTAAATTCCATAATTTGAAAATTCGACACCACAAAAATTCCGGCAAGTCTAATTTGGGAAATATTCATGCGTCCCATTAACAAAACCTTAACATAAATTTATAGTTTAATTTTTGGAATCGACTCAATTTTTTTGCTTTAAATCACATTTACATTAATAATCACTTATTGTTAGTTTTATCAGATCGATAAAATTTAAAATTAAGAACGTAAGTAAGAAGCCATTTATTAATTACATAAGCGTCCTTATGGGGAGCGGGGGTTTATAGAATCTCTACATAGTCTTTAAAAATTCAAAATGATGAATCCAATCTGGAAGACATTTTTGAAAAATTCATCTTAATTTCATTGAAATTAGTTACTCGGGGGTTTTCTGGATCGCTGATCACGAATCTGATGTTAGTTTTTAAAAATTCAAAATGGCAGACATTTTTCAAAAAATATTTCCGCCATATTGGATCCGCTATTTAAAGTTTTTGAAAAGCAACTTCAGATTCATAATCAGCGTCTCAGAAAACCCCCAAGTAACGATTTTCAATTAAAATCCGATGAATTTTTAAAAAATTTTCAAAAATATCCGCCATTTTGAATTTTGAAAAATTGACATTAGATTCCTGATCAGAGACCCCGAAAACCCCCGAGTAATAATTTTCAAGCGAATCCAATATATTTAAAAAGAATTCATAAATATCCGCCATATTGGATCTACCATTTTGAATTCTTAAAAACGGACCTTGGATTCGTAATCAGCGACACCAACGTTGGAATAAAAAATTTTCTATGCAGGATTAAATGAATGATTTTGGTGTCGATTTCTGCAATTTCATTAAACCGTCTTGGGGAATTAAAAGAAGTTGACAGAAGAGGAATATAGGAATTAAATAATTCCAATACTTTTTAATGAAACTTTTAATATTATATAAATTAAAAGATGTTTTTGTCATTTTTGGCCTAAATGGCTTTTAGTTTATTGCAATAATTGTCATGACGCGTTGCGATACAGAATTCTGTGTCCTCATCAGATACATTTCTGCAAAGATAAATCTTTTTTAGAATTTTTTCAAACGAAGATTAAAGCTCTTTTTATGAAGAATATATACCGACATTGTCACGTCTGTTTCATTTTAGTTAATATACATAATGAGTTTTTTTAATTTTGTTATAATAATTTTAATCATCTGTAAAAATGTAAAACTGTAAGAAGCAGCTATTACTTAAATTATTTTTTGTATAATTATGAAACATGTACCTTTAATTAATTTTGAAAATTGAATTGAAAAAAATATTATATATGTTAAGTTGAAAAAATTATAAATTAAAAATAAAACTTTTTTTGAAACACATGTTTGATATGTGGGGCTGTTCAAAAAATACGTAACGTTTTTTTTGGGAAATTTCAACCCCCCCCCTCCCCCCATGTAACGCACAGTTACATACATTAGCGCCATTTTTTTGGCTGACCGTAACAAATAGCTTGACCCCCCCCTCCCCCCTAGAAGCGTTACGTAATTTGTGAACAGCCCCTGTGTTTCAATTTTGTAGGTTAGAAAGGTAAATGAAAAATAGATTTAGTATTGAGAATCAAAACGGTATCAAGCCAAGGTTCATATAAAAAGTGCTGAATGTATAAAGGTCGGTTTACAAACGTATATCAAAAATATTATATGGGTTGAAATATAACTAATCAATTATTCAATTTTTACATTATCTTCATTAAATACAATAATTAATTTAATTACATAGAAATAAGTATATTAATACTAATTATATATTCATCTATATTAATTTCGAATTATTAGAACAAAAAAATAATTACAAACCAGATTTGTTAGTTTATATACTTAAATAAAAAATTTTTTTCCAATGTTAATATATTTTCCAAAAAGGAAAATTTATTAGCCTAAACACTGGGTATGATGTGTTTATCACCATACCATTGTTATTTCCTGCATCCTTAATTGTACACTTTCCATTGATGCATGTTTCAGTTGTACACTTTCCATTAACGCATTTCTGAAATAAACAAAATAAATTTCTTCACTATTTTTATAAAATTTAACAGAATCTTTAAATATCAACTTTTATGAATTAAACGGCAATAAATTGACTTTGTTAATTATAAACGCCTAAGTTCTAAAAAGAGTGTTCTTCTCTGTTTTTTTTTTTTTAAATCTTTTTTATCTCCAAATATACAAATTTAGAATTGAGTTGAAAAAAATCATGTTTTGAAAAGGGATTTGCACTTGAATAAAAATTAAAGGAAACAAAATAATAACTGAATCTCATTACCGTGGATGTTGTGGAATGTGTCGTAATTGGTGCCTTTGTACTGATTGGTCCTCTTGGAAAAGTTGGCGCTCTTGAAGTAATTGGCTTGTATGGTATTGGTGTGTAATTTATTTTTGGTGGCGCTTTAGTAGTGAACGGTGCTTTTGTTGTGCTTTGCTTGTGTGGCAATTGAGAATTTGAATTTTGTCCCAAATTATTAGGTTTCTGTACACACTCTCCTGATATGCAGTACTGAATAATAAAATTATAAACAATCAATTAATAATATTCTATTGCACAAATATTGAGAATCACCAAATTTGATTTATGAAATTTTACAGGACAAATTAATACATAATTTTAATTACCTTCCCTTCACCACATTTAGATCCCTCCGCAGGAGGCATACTAGATGTAATATGATAATAACTGTAAGAATATTCCGCTGAGATACAGTGTAGCTCTAAACAAGTTGTTCTTGCCTAAAAATAAACAATAGTAATAAAAAAAATAGGTAATGATAACGATAGTATTAATTGTAAGTGCTATGTTAAAGGACCTTACATTATCATTTCTTATGTATCCATCATTTTTGCATTGTTGATCTAAAGTCATTATTTCACCAGGTAAAATTCTTGATACTTGTATGTTATTTACATATTCTGCTGGATTATTCTGAACGCATTTTGCAAAATTTTGACTGAAGAAAAATATAATTTATTATATTTGGCATAAATGGTTTTCACTAAATACAAGTGTAAATGTTTAAAATTTTCCACATACCTTAAAACAGTTCGAATAACATTTTTCGAACATGGGGAAAATAAAATTCTGTTTTTATTATAACGATTATAACTCATGATGTAACCATCTTCCTTAGGACAATGCAATGCACCATTTTGATGAAACATTGAATCTTCCTCATCATGAGGCGCACCAAAGCTAATGAAAAAATTAAACATAAATTAATCTTTTAGTTTTAATTTCATTAAATTTTACAAATTAACAAAAAAAAAAAATTTTTAACCCAGTATATAAATAAAAAGTAAACATAGTTTGCGTAACTTACAGATGACCTAATTCGTGAGCAGCAGCAATAATCCCTCCATAACCATTACTATCTTCAACTACACCGGTACCAAAATATCCCTGATATGTACTTTCCCTGCACACTCCAGCTTCAAAGGCAATACCTTTAAGAAAGCATTTTTTTAGATTACATTTCAATTTACATATGTAATACAAAACCAAAATATAAGATTTAAACTTACCAGCTGTTCCCTTATTGCCTTGTAAATCCATCATATCTCTTCCAGTCATCAACACAGCTGCATCATAATCTATAGTTGGTTGAAAGAATTGTTCCTTATATAAATATAAAGCAAATTCTTTTAAACTTCCGGAACCATATATAGCTCCTTTGGGAAAACCGTAAATTGCTTTATTAATGAATGGTAGTGGTTCCTTTAGTAAAAAAATATTTTCAATTAATTATATTATAGAAAATTTTCAGTACATTACTAATTAAAATATTTTCTATCTCACTTAATTAAATTGTATTTAAAATCAATGATTTTGGTATTTAAACCAAATACTATTTAATTGAGAGAAATATTAATTATTTATTTGTGTAGAGTTCAATTTTGTTTAATTTCATTATGTAAAGGTTAACAAAATTTTTTTTTTCTATTCTAAATTAAATTTGTGCAATTTAACTGTGCGTAGAATTTTACGAGTAGGGTTTTAATGTTATAATTTGTAAGTGTGTAATATTAAAACCGCCAGCAATAATTAATTTAAATAAATATAATTTTTCAATATAAACAACATACTTTAACTAATACTATTTTTCTAATATAGAGACGAATCTGTGGATCATCAAATTCTCTGTATCTTAAATCAACTGCATTCCAAAAACTCAAAGTATATTGTACCGCTTCCATCACGTCTTGATTAAATTTACTGCAATTAAAATTAAAAATAATTAATAATAATTATAGAATTAAAGTGAAATAAAGTAATTTATATTTAATAAAATAGTAGTTTTTTAAAAAAAAAAAGAAACAAAATAAGTAGAATAAAGTTATTCCAACTTACTTAAAAAGTATATCATCAACGAAAACCATAATTTCCGGATAAACTATTTTTGGAGTCACTCCAACTTCTCTTCGGGATACACTTTTAATTTTCATAATTTCATCATCGACCATTTTAGATGCATCAAGTTCTAAACAAATTAGACGTAAATTATAAATAACAATATCAATAATAATAAAAAATATCATTGCACAAAGAAAAATATGGAAAAATGAATAAAAGTAACTTTTACTATATTTTAAAAGTAAAATCTGAACTGTCCGCAGTTTCTGTGCATTTCTGTAAATTTTTACTCCAGAAATATAGTTAAATTTACTATTTTGGAAATAATTTTTACTATTTCAGTAGTAAATTTTACTATTTTTTGAGTGAATTTCACTATTTCTTGAGTAAAAATTGCCAGAAATACGCAGAAATTCAAATTGGCGGAACCAATATGGCGGTCGAAATTTATAAATATTAATTATTTTTTGTAAAACTTGGTATCTAGGGGTTTTTGGGCTCGCTAAGTACGAATCTGAAGTCAGATTTTTAAAATTCAAAATGGCAGATTCAATATGGCGTTTGAAAATTTATAAAAGTTCGTCGAATTCACTTGAAACTTGTTACTTGAAGGTTTTTGGGGTTGCTGATTACACATTTGATGTCGGGTTTTAAAAATTCAAAATAGCGAATCCAATATGATGGTCGAATCTTTAAATCGTAAAAATAAGCGTCTAAAATTTACACAAACGTAATACAAGAGTTGTTATGAAATGTTTCTATTAATTTTATTTAATTGCATTATATTTGTTTAATAAATTTTGATTATAACCTTTTGAATTTATTAATTCTAATAGAAACTTAGTTAATAAATATACGAATTTTCAGATTAAAAATCACTTAAAATAAAAATTTTAAAATGTTGGCTTGCAAATTTTAACAAAAAATTGATCGAACATTTAAATTTTCCAAATTATTTTTCAGATTTGTGATCTTCTCCTTTATTAGATTTGGCGTTTTTATTATTCTTATCTGACATCACTTTCGTACTTAGAGACGCCGAAAGCCCTTAGATACCAAGTTTTATAAAAAAATTAACAATTTTTATAAATTTCAACCGTCATATTGAGTCTGCCATATTGAATTTTAAAAATCAACAATCAGATTCGTACTCAGCGACCCCAAAAACCCAGAGATACGAAGTTTTATAAAAAACTAATAACATTTATAAATTTCGACCACCATATTCGATCCGCCATTTTGAATTTTGAAAACCCGACATCGAATTCGTACTCAGCGACCCCAAAAACCCCTAAGTAACAACTATCAAATGAATTGGTGAATTTTTATAAATTTCGACCGCCATATTGGATCCGCCATTTTGAATTTTGAAAATCTGACATCAGATTCGTAATCAGCGACCCGGAAAACGCCGAGATACCAGGTTACATAAAAAATTATTAATTTGTACATGATTTCCTATCACCTTTCATTTAAGGGTTGTTTTTACCCCTAAAAGCATAAAATGACCTGATCTAGCAAAACGGCCAGACACGGGTATCTTTTTTTTGGTCCTAGTTTCTGAAAATCATTGATTTTTTCGTGTGTGAAAAATCGTGTCGGACGGTGATATTATAAATGTATAATGAATTAATTAGTTAATTAATTAATATTTATAATTTTTTAAACTTTGACAATACTGGTCCACTAATGGCAGCCAAGATTGGCCCAGTAATGACGTCTTATATTTGGCTGCCGACGTCCAACCGCAGTTAACACCACAAGATACAGCCCAGTACATTGTCTGCCAAGACTTGGTGCCCGATTTGACAATATTGGGCCGTTTTGGTTTTCGCACTTGGATCATTATTAATACTGTGATATTACAGAATTCGTTATTTTACCTTTTCTCAAATTTACGTTAAAAGTTAATTTATGTGCGATTTTTCTATAAATTATTTATTTTTCTAAAAAAATTTATAGTTTCGGATAAGAATAGCCGCATGCTATAAAATAATGTTAAAAAGTGAAGATTTTTACTTATACCAGACTTGGAGGATTGATAATTATTATTTACTATTATTTTAATTCTTTACATTTAAACACATCCAATTTTAATTAACTTTTTTATATGTAACGAAAATACTTACGGGAAGCATTATTAAATGTTTGTTTATAAATTATATGTTCATCAGTATTTATGAAACCTTCGGCATCACTTTCAAGGGTTGCAGAATTTTTTTTCGTCAAATCTCGACGTTTACGAAGATGATTGGGCAATGGTTGAATCACATAATTATTGTCGATAATTCCATGCTGTTAAAAATTAAAATTTTATTTAGAATTTAAAAAATAGAAATCATTTAATATGAAAAAATTTATCGCACAATATAAAATAAATAAGTATATATACTTACAAATTCAGATATTCCACGTTTATTTCTAAAGTGTGTAACAGATGAACCTGTTTTTTGATCTTGATAAAATTTATGGATGATATTTTGCATAATCTATAATTATAATAGTTTTTTAATACCTTATACATTTTTTTTAGAGAAATTTGCGTTGTTAGAAATCGGATTCTAACTTTAAACAAAAAAAGATTGAAATAATATATTTTTAATCTCAAAAAAGTGTGAATGTTTGGTTGGACAAAAAACTTAAAGGTATAATGCGAAATAAAAACATTCGCACTTTTGGAGATTAAAACTATATATAAATTTAATTTTTTTAGTGTAATGTTGAAGTTCTATGTTTAACAGTGTGTTGTTGTTCGTTAATATATAGGGTAAATGTCCCAATTACTGTGGTTTACAACCCAAGACCGACTTTAATGATAAAATACTAAAAGTGTAAATGAAATAATGATTTAATTCTATTTGTTAAATCACTATTAGTGTCTATTAAAATAGAAACGATACTTTAAACTTGAAGAAATAACAAAAATATTATTAAAAATATTAACTTTTTTAAAAATGGCATATGCTGGTATTACTGCAATTTTGCATGAATTACTGCGAATGGTGTGCACCAATTACTGCAACGCTAAAAGTGTTGATTTAGAGGTTAGGTTGATTGGATAGACCACAGTAATAGCAGCATGAGAAAAATATATACGCATGCTCTAATTACTGTGATAGGTTCAATTGTAACTTGAATAAATAATTTGATAAAAATCGAAATATGCATCATTAGTGGATATAATATCAAATATCATTTGGAATAAGTTTTAAAGTAATTTTAAAACAGTTTTATGTTCTCAATTACTAAATTTCACTAATTTTTTAAAATCGCAGTAATTGGCGCATCAGCATATTTTATTTTTAAAATTCGAATATAATATACTATTAAAATTAGAATGACTTTTTAAATTAAGAACTATTTCTTAATTAAAAAACTATTTCTTGATTTAGAAATTACTTTTGAATTTAAGAATTATTTCTTAATGGTAGGTCCTAGTAAGACAGCACCACCTATATCGAAACTAAAATTTTGGAAAATTATTTATAGTATTTATTTGAAAGCAAGACAAAACAATACTTTTTCCTTTATGATAACTGATTATTGTCAAGAAATATACGAACCAAAACTTTTTTTGAGTTAAAATAATGAAAAAAAAATTAATGACGATAAATTAAATATAAGCATATTTTTTTACGAAAACTTTTAAGATATTTTCTCGGAAATAACAAAAAAGAATGCAATTTTCATTTGAAGAATTAATAAGCACTAAAAACTATACCAGCTAAGATTCACCAATTACGAAAATAACAAAAAAAAACTTTTTTTTTAACATAACATATCGACACTATTTTTATTGATTTTGACAGCCATTTGGCAAATAATATATTTGCATTTGTTAGCAAAAGCGCCAATCTCCTCCTGTTGGCAGAATCATGAAATAACTTGTGACATTTATTATCTACTAAATGGCTGTCAAAATCAGTAAAAATAGTGTCGATATGTTATGTTAAAAAAAAAGTTTTTTTTTGTTATTTTCGTGATTGGTGAATCTTAGCTGGTATATTTTTTAGTGTCTATTAATTCTCCAAATGAAAATTGCATTCTTTTTTGTTATTTCCGAGAAAATATCTTAAAAGTTTTCGTAAAAAATAGGCTCATATTTAATTTATCGTCATTAATTTTTTTTCATTATTTTAACTCAAAAAAAGTTTTAGCTGGTATATTTCTTGACAATAATCAATTATCCTAAAGGAAAAAGTATTTTATTGTCTTGCTTTCAAGTAAATACTGTAAATAATTTTCCAAAATTTTAGTTTCCATATAGGTGGTGCTGCCTTACTAGGACCTATTCTTAATTTCAAAATTATTATTGACTTTAAAATTTCTTTCCTATTTTAAAACTTCTTTAATTATTACATTAAGGGCAAGTCAAAGTCGATGCGATTTTCCCATTGAGGCTCTATTTAAAAATTACTTCGACTTTGACATGCCCTTAAGAATAATATGTACAAAAAATATTTATATTTTTGAATTGCATTTTTTTTTTTAAATTAGTATTTCTTTGCAATTAAGAATAGGGTAACTGCACCAGTGGTGGATCATGCACCAGTGGTGGATCAACTGCGAGAAAAATGGTCATTTGTGTTTACACGTTTGTAAGTAAATGAACCGAAAGTGTCGGTAATTGTTAAGAAAGTAATACAGATCAATATTACAATTTAAAAAAATTTTTAAATTCATCGCGAAGAAAGCAGGACAACAATTACTAAAGTGGTGACAGAAAACAAGAGTTTTCCTTAACATGTAAGTTAAGAGTATATTTTGGAATAGAAAGCTTTGGAGCCATTTTAGGACAATTTTTAATTCTTTTCACAATAGGAGGCATTTCGTTTCATCCCCATAGAGCCCTGAGAACAATATTTACGTCTGTAAGTAGCGCGTGTCCATTGTTTTGGGGTGATCCACGACTGCAACCAAAAAAGTAACAAAATCTAGTGGTGGATCAGTCCTACTTTTCGCCTGTTGACGCATTGTTTTATTGAAAATTTTATGAGTTAAATTTTAGTTAACACTAATTCAAATGTTTATTAATTAATAACACCTGGGGGTCGATTACGTAACTTTACCACTTCCCACATCCCACATCCCACATCTCACTTCCCACATTTTACATCCCACATCCCACATCTCACTTCCTACATTTTACATTCCACTTCTCAATTCCCACATCCCATTTCCCACATCTCACTTCCCATATTTCATATCTCACTTCCCATATTTCACATCTCACTTCTTACTTCCCATATTTCATATCCACTTCCCACTTCCCATATTTCACATACCACATCCCACTTCCCATATTTCACATCTCACTTCTTACTTCCCATATTTCATATCCACTTCCCACTTCCCATATTTCACATACCACATCCCACATCCCACTTCCCATATTTCACATCTCACTTCTTACTTCCCATATTTCATATCCACTTCCCACTTCCCATATTTCACATTCCACATCTCACTTCCCACATTTCACATCCCACTTCTCACATTTCACTTTTCACACTTCACATCTCACATTGTACATTACACTTTTCTTATCACGCTTCCCACCTTTTATATCCCACTTCTCACATCTCTCCCATTTCCCACAAGATGTTGGATGTGGGAAGTGGTATGTAAAATGTGGGAAGTGAGAAGTGGGATGTAAAATGTGGGAAGTGAGATGTGGGAAATGGGATGTAGGAATTGAGAAGTGGGATGTAAAATGTAGGAAGTGAGATGTGGGATGTGGGATGTAAAATGTGGGAAGTGAGATGTGGGATGTAAAATGTGGGAAGTGAGAAGTGGGATGTAAAATGTGGAAAGTGAGATGTGGGAAATGGGATGTAGGAATTGAGAAGTGGGATGTAAAATGTAGGAAGTGAGATGTGGGATGTGGGATGTAAAATGTGGGAAGTGAGATGTGGGAAGTGGGATGTAAAATGTGGGAAGTGAGAAGTGGGATGTAAAATGTGGGAAGTGGGATGTGGGAAAGTTACGTAATCGACCCCCTGATTTCATATTGTTAAATTTTTGTTGAATTAAAATACCCAGAATTAATAAATGTTATTTATCATTGAAACTGAAGCTTTAAGAGTTTCTATTTATTTATTACCAAAAATTCTAATAAAAAGATGATTAAATAATATTTAGTCACATTATACCTATAGAAATGAAATAGGAGGGGATATGGATAGGAAAATGAATTTGAAAATCTGTCCGTAAAGCCTTATAAAAGTTGCAAAACGTCTCAGTCTCGTAATTTTAAAATGCAATGTTTTTTAGTATGATTTTTTAAGTGATCCACCACTGGAGCAATCTATAACCACGACTGGTGCAAACAGTTATCCAGAATAGGATCATTGACAAATTATCTTTGATGGAGCATTAAAGTAAACGTAGGTGTCAAAATTAAGTCTAACCTTGAAGGAAATGTCTATTGGAACTATCTGGTCCATAATACTATAAAGAATAACCTCGAATTTGTCTAAAAACAACCTATACAGAACTTCAAAGTCAAAATAAGAAAGTTAAGGGGCTTAACTGATCCACCACTGGTGCAGTTACCCTATATAATAATGTAAATAGAGAATTTATCGTATATCTTCATAATGTTAATACATACATTTGGTATTTCTACAAAATCAACGGATCTCCAATCAACATTATTAGAGGCAGTATAAACTTTCGTTTCTGTGCCTGCAAGTAAACTATCAGTTGGATTTAAATAATAATCATTGTCTTTCCCATCTCTTTTAATTCGAATTGTTAATTTGTCATCGGATATTTTATGATGAATTGGCACCACCTCATAATCAGATTCTAGAAGATAGAATTTAAATTTTAATCTTAATTTAATACACCAAAAAAATGGTCTCAAAATTATATAGCTATAGGCAGTTATATGTATTTATAAATTTAATAATTTTTCCAATTAATTTCTATTTACGCTTATTTTTTACTGAGTGTTTCAGTGCAAATTTTTTATTGTATTGAAAAATTAAAATTTATTATTCAATCTAATATAATTACCATCGTTTAAAAATCTATCGTCGACATTGAACGATTGAGTAATGGGCACAAAAAGAGTACAAAATAAAATTGTGAAGTAATACATCTGTAAATAAAAAAATTTTTTAAATTAATTAAACGCAATATTGAGAAAAAAATATTCACACAGTATCAGATATTTTAGAATTTCCTATAATTAGGTATATATCTGTTATGGAAATTGAAATTCTATTCCTTTTCCCAAGGATGTCCTGAAAATCTAGATGTTGCTAGTACATAGAGTTTTAATGTGCAGT